CAGGTTTTTTTTCTTTATTGATGTTGAACAAAATTATTTTAAATCGGGAATCCTATCTACAGAGGATTTAAAAAGTGTTGACAGAGGTTTAAAACTTGCCACTTTTTTGGACTGACTGAGAGACAGATGGACGAATCAATGTTAACTAAAATGGCTGAAAATAAAAAAAAACTGAGATATAATATTTTGCCGATTTTTTGTAACAAAATTATTTCATACAACTACTCTTTACAGTGACATGGCTTTTTACAATGCAGGACAGCTGAAATTATTTGTAAAGCTAGGAAATGGGCCAAAAGTGAATTTCGCGAGACAAGAATGGTGACCATTTTGAAAATGGGCGAGCTTTTGAACCAAGAGTCATAGGAGTTTTTTGTATTGATGTTGAACAAAATTAACTTAAAACAGGAATCCTATCGACAGAAGGTTTAAGGCAAATGGTCCAAAAGTGGATTTTGCGAGACAGATGGACAAATCAATGTTAACTAAAATGGCTGAAAATAAAAAAAATGGATATGATTTTTCGCTGATTTTTTGTAACAAAATTATTTCATACATCTACTCTTTACATTGACATGGATTTTTACAATGTAGGACACTTAAAATTATTTGTAAAGCTAGGAAATAGGTCAAAAGTGAATTTCGCGAGACAAAAATGGCGGCCATTTTGAAAATAGGTGAGCTTTTGAGCCAGGAGTCATAGGGGAGTTTTCTGTATTGATGTTGAACAGAAATAACTTAAAACAGGAATCCTATCAACAGAGGTTTTAAAACGTGCCACTGTTGTTGATGGAAAAGTGGATTTCACAAGTCAGATGGACAAATCAATGTTAACCAAAATGGCTGAAAATAAAAAAATAGATATAATTTTTCGCTGATTTTTTGTAACAAAATTATTTCATATATCTACTCTTTACATTGACACAGATTTTTACAATGTAGGACACCTGAAATTATTTGAAAAGGGTCAAAAGTGAATTTCGTGAGACAAAAAAGGCCGCCATTTTGAAAATAGATGAGCTTTTGAACCAGGAGTCATAGGGGAGTTTTCTGTATTGATGTTGAACAGAAATAACTTAAAACAGGAATCCTATCGACAGAGGTTTTAAAACGTGCCAGTCAAAAGTGAATTTCGCGAGACAAAAATGGCGGCCATTTTGAAAATAGGCGAGCTTTTGAACCAGGAGTCATAGGGGAGTTTTCTGTATTGATGTTGAACAGAAATAACTTAAAACAGGAATCTTATTGACAGAGGTTTTAAAACGTGCCACTATTGTTGACGGACAGACAGACAGACGGACGGACGGACAGACAGACGGACAAGTGAGCGATTGCAAAAGCTCACCATGTGAGCTAATGAGCTAATAATAATAATAATAACTATTTTGGTATATCAAATAAGCATGTACTTTTATGTGATAACAGACTTATCGATACTTTAGCTCCATTTTGAGAGAATCTGAGGAGCAGGCAATGCTGCAATGCTGTAATGTGATTCTGATTATTGGTTTACTAGTTCAGTAAAATCAATCAAAGCAGATTGAGTACTGTAATCTATGGATTTTGCAAAACACTGGTACATGTCAAGCATGAAACAATTGACAAGTTGACCATAGCTATTTTGGTATTTATGTGGTGATCAACACTGGTTATACGAGATTGATTGAACTAGTTAAGAAAAAATGAGGAATGCTATATTAAAAAATAATCATCAGTGCATTTCGACTCTTCGCTCACCTTGGCAAATCTCACAAATCTTTTGTAAGATATAGAGTATTGTTTAGATACAAGTCTCTTGGGTGCTCGCCAAAATGTAAGAACTCTCTCTTTCTAGAGGGTTTTATTTGACATTCGAACATGACTCTATTCACGCCTTCTACAGGGTGTCAAATAAGTCCCGTCCCCCCTGCTACAGCTAAAACCTTAATAGAAGGTACCTAGTGTGATATACCATTGGAAAGATCATCTAAAGTTATGTTAAGTCATCAACTCTCAAGTATTTTGGATGAAATTCACCTATATTTTCATGATGTCCTTTATATTTAGCATACCCTCATTTAAGCAGCTTTTTGCGTCAAAATTAAAAGGATATGACCTCAGAAAAACGTCAAAAAGTTAACCTTTTTCACATTCCACTTGTTACAAAAAAGGTTTTCACCACTTTCCTTGCACCTCTATTTTCTACACATCTAACCCGACCCAGAGATTGGTTAAATTCATTGCCATTTACATATGTAGTCATCTTCAGGTCTTTTGACGATTCTTAAAATCCTGCAAAATATGCCAAATTGCCATGTTTCTGGGCCTATGGTCACCTCAATTGATACAATGTAAAAATTTGTGAGATTGATTGACATGTGTCGGATATATGCTAATCAACGTAACTTTCTAAGACCTTTCCAATGATCACACTTGGTACCATATATCTTGGTTTTGGCTGTAGAGGGGGGGGGACAGAACTTATTTGACACCCTGTATAAACTGTAAACAAAGTCAACATTTCAGCCGGGTATATTCGCGATCAATACCCCTGGTAATACGCGTAATGTGTGATGTCATAACGTTGGGTCGTAGTAATGGCGGTCCATGATGAATATTCGAAACATTTTGGTGAGTTTTCATGTTCGAATCGTAATATAGACCTCATAGCAGGAGTAATATCTTCGAATACACCCCTTAGGGCTAGGCACAAACGCTTTCGAAAATGTTTGTGCCTAGCCCTGCTGGGTGTATTCGACAATATGACCACTGCTTTTCGGTCTATATTTCTTAAATATTCTAGTCAATTAGGGGCTCATGGTACACCAATTCTGTTAGTTCTCCTAATACGTGATTTTTTTAGTTTTTGGTTTCTTTATTTTACTTTACAATATTAGCTTAAAAATGACAGGGCAGAGGCTGCACTCAGCATTACAAAGTATATGCAAAATAACAACAAAAATGGCAACATGTATCAGGCCTGTCAACTGTCCCGCAATTTGCGTATTTGTCACGCATTTGCTGAAGAATTTGAAGTCACGCCAGTTTTTTTTGCGTGACAGAAAATGTCACGCAAATACGCATTTTACCTGGTAATTGTCACGCAAAAATATTTCTGTAGAAAATTTTTCAAAATATGTTGACGATACGGCAAAAATACGAACGTCGGAAAAAACCGAACGCAATTTGTGAAAAATTGAGGTGTCCAAAATTTGATTAAATGCAATAAAATTGAAAACAAGGTGCTCAAATTGTGGCCAAGATGTTCAGATTTGGACCAAGGTGTCCAAAATTTGAACAAAGGTGTTCAACATTTGCAAGTCACTCATGTTAGGTGTCCCCAAGTTGACAGGCCTGATGTATGTATGTATGGCAGGAAACTATATAATTATTGCAATATGTTTACACAAAAAGGTTGTAAAATGTTTCAATACTGAAGAAAATTGGATGTTAAACTTACTCCATCTCTGCCATACATTAAGATATTTTGCTTTTGCTCAATAGAGTATCCTGTAAAGAAAATGTTCATTTCTGGCATTTTCCTGAGTTCCCCCCTAAGTTTCTCTCTTACATCATTCAACAGAGGATATTAGGAGATTAGATGCTTTGTAGTTTGTTGTTTAAAACCACAGATGCATTTGGGACTGTCAATGCCTTGAAAATTATGTTGGAAAAGATGGCCAGTAAAAATGAAATCACACAATTTCTTCTTTTCTTGTAAGATTCGGGTTTGTGGTTGTTAATTACTTCATTTTCCCTGAATATTTATGTAAATTGGTTTTGAAAGTAACTCTTGATGGTGAACCTTTTAGATGATTTGGAATGGCTTCCCATTCTCTTATGGAATTTGTTATTGGTGACTTTTGTGAATGTGCAGTTAACTTTGAAATATTATATTCTCTTTCTTAGGTTAACATTATGTTGCTTATTTTGATGACTATCAAATATTTTTTGAACATAAGGTGGAACCAATATCTGTCTAACATCATACATTAAACATAATCGTTTCTCCTTTCTCCGCTCAGACAGGGTATTCCAATTTAGACATTTCAAAACCTTTACAGTAGATGTTCCATGAATGCAACCACTTACTGATAATGCTGCTTTATAATGAACGTGGTCAAGTTTCATAATATTATACTTAGTAGATTTTCAAATAATATACTTCTATACTCTAAGTTAGGGAGAATAAATGATAGATACATCCTCTCTATGTGTTTAGCTTGAATCTTGTTCTTACTAAGTTTCAATAGATTTAACATTATATTACATGTTTTTATGATATCCCGTAAATGGGCTTCAAAATTCAAATGCTCATCTAGAATGACTCATAAGTGTTTATACGCTAAGACGTGATAGTCGCAGTAGTTAGCATTGGTTGATCTGGGGGCCAGTGATTAGGGTGGATTCCTGATATGAGCTCATTTTCGGATTGTTATGTAGTATTTACCAGCTACTCTACAGGCTCTACACTCTGATTTGCAGATTTTGGAGATACATGTACTGTATATCAAAATTTCCAACAGTTTGAACATTTGGGTGACCATTTAGGAGTATCAAATGGACAATACAATATTTGAGATATTATGTAGTGTTATACTTTGAAAAGATCATCAATGAACTAAAGCAAATTCCTTCATTAGACAGACATTTTGATTCTTCTGAGAAATAAATCAGAAAAACAATACCATTATTGTGTTGTGAACTACATATACTTTAAAATTCCTTCAATGTGAGTATAGTAAAGCAAAACTAGAAGAGATCAGGAAACTATGGACGGATGGAGGGCTTCACTATATCCCTGCTGAACTTTGTTCATTGGGATAATTATGAGTCTCTATTTTCAAAAAGTTTTTTGAATATACTGCATGTACACTTTTTGGGGTCACCTTAATTGTCATGTATAAAACCTGGGACATATAAATTGTGAGAGAAGTTTAGCACATTGTTTTGACTTTCCTCTCATACCCAGACTCTCATACCAATCTGGATCAATCTTCGGTCTGCTCTTATATCACAGAATGGATAAAGAATCAAAATGGACACCTAGCACAGATATAAGAATGGGTCAACGAGGAGCTCAAGAAAATTCCAAAGATGAAAATGGTTGCTGGGCGAAGTGTCAAAACAGAGAGAATCTTAGCATAGATGATTATGAAAAAGCAACACAATTTTGGTTATTTAGCTGTAAGCGACCTCACATGAGAGGTTTCCAAGCATCCTGGTTTGGCACTTTCATTGCCTTTTTTGGTTGGTTCTGTGTCCAGTCATTAGTTCCAGATATCCAAGAAGATCTGAATTTGACAGATGAAGAAGTTGCAAATTCTGGTAAATGATTGTGTTGGGAGTATTTTCGTTTAGAAATAGAAGCCTGAGGAATATCAATATAACAGAAACATTGTGATCCAAAACTATCATGTTACCAGTACTTATCTTAGACCTAATGATATCACAACTTGTAATGAGCACGAATTACTGAGGCAATTTTGAAGTACATGTATACATATGTTTTTTTCAGGAATAACTGCAGTAGCCTCTGTGATAGGGGTGCGACTTGCAACAGGTCCATTGACTGATCGATTTGGGCCAAAACGTATCATGGCTATACTCCTAATGGCTGGGGGAATTTCACTTGGAATTACAGGCCTTACATCTACCGCCACTGGACTTATGATTGCTAGATTCTTTATTGGCATTCTTGGTGCTACAATTGTTCCATGTCATTCTTGGGCAGTCAGTTTATTCAGTTCCAATATTGTTGGTTCTGCAAATTCATTAGCAGCTGGCTGGGGAAATGTGGGAGGAGGAGTTGCCTTTCTCGTAATGCCTCTGCTGTTAAGACTGGTGCTACTGATTGGAGTGAGGAAATCAAATGCTTGGAAGATAACTTTGATTATCCCAGCAATAATATGCCTAATTAGTGCAGTCCTTTTATGGTTATTCACGGATGACTGTCCACAAGGTAGATGGAGATCAAGAAAGACAATAGGAGAAACAGATAGACTTGAAACTGCCAATGGGACAGTTAATCCAGCATATAATTCCAAAAGTGAGTACAATGTTTAATGATAGAGTATTGAAAGAAACACAAGCAGCAATAAATAAAACACAAGAACATATATCGATCAAAAATAAATAGCATGTTACTATTTTGACTTCAAAATAAGTTAAAACAAGGTAAAGGGATTTTTGAAAGTCAGTGAACTCAAAATTTTGAGTGTCAAAGGTCAAGGTCAAAATCTAGGTCATAATTGTAATTTTCGCAATTAACAAACTACTGTTCAAATTTTGCTTTTAAATCTATGAGGGATAGAACATATACATTTTCTTTCTCATTTTGTCATCAATATCAGATGTCAAAATCATTTTTTAAATTAACATCTGGAGTCTTGAATTGAACTTGTTCAATTTTATCAAACTACAGTAGTTATTTATGCATTTCTGCATTGTATATCTTAAAATAACTCTATAGCCTACATGATATATTTGCACTTGCAGGTGACTGTTCAACAGTTCCAGTAAAGTTAAAAGATAATACTTCCAAAAAGTTCACTCAGCAGAATATCACAGGATTTCGAGGGCACATTGCATTTAGAATTTTTGCAATCGCTGTTCTATTCATACAATTTTCGGGTGTTGGAATATCTGTTAACAGTACAATGAATGTGTATCTATTGAGAAAATTCAAAGACAATGACTGTGATCTGAATGATTCCACATTTGCTAATACTACCAGGTCCAGAGTGGGCAACAAATGCTCAATTATTAATTCAGAAACTGCCAGTTTAATAACATCCATTTTTAATCTCATGAATCTTTTTGCTTGTTTTACTGGTGGCTTCTTTTCTGATTTACTAGCCAAACGTTTTAGTTTATCTGGCAGGCTAATGATTCATTTACTTTTTCTCGCCATGCATGGTAGTTTGATGATCTTATTTGGCCATATGGAGAATCTCCCCATTGCAATTGCTGTTCTTATTCTCTGGAGTTTTTGCTATCAGAATACTCAAGGTACAAACTTTGGACTGGAACCATTTATCTGGCCAAAGCGAGTGGGATTGGTCAGTGGTATTATAGCGATGGGAGCGACATCTGGCAGCATCTGTTGGAATCTTCTCTGGCGTTATAGTCTTGATAACATGTCAAGGTACTACACAATTGTGGGCTCAGTTGCATTATGTTCATCCCTGCTAACAATATTAGTGTTCGTTGGGGGATATAACATGTTGGATCCATGTCTCAACAAGGGAATGTTCCGTGAGGAGAATATTGTAAAAGAACTCAAGGATAATATTCATGAAACGAGATGTGACAAACATGTGCATGATTTTACAAAACTTTGACAGGATGTTCTGAGTCAAGCGAGATCCTGAAAAAATGTTGGTTCATCGACAATAAAAAGGAATAAAATCTCAGAACATAAGTTTGATTGCTTATAGCTACATGCAGTTTTACATACAAAATAGACAAATGAATTAATGAATGAAATAGCAACCAAGGTGTAGCAAATCTAAGAGGGGGAGGAACCCCAGGGTTCAAAGATGACGTATGTCTATAATGTAAATCTCAATTGAGATGACCCACTGTCCTGATTGGTTCAAATCCACAAACAAAAATGGTGGATTCAAAATTTTCTAATAACGCTTCGAATCGCGAATAATATCATGTTAAATTTTGGCTTGTCAACCAATATCATAGTAGACAGGTTCCAATTTCAGAATATCTCAAGGGAAAGGGTTTTTGAGGCATTTTTTAGAAAAAGCAACAGACCTATTTCTTCTGGATCAGTTTTTCATGCTGATAAAGATATTAAAAGATGACAGCTCAACGGGGTGGTCACGACAATGAATTTTAGCGTTTTTACCCCCCTAGGAAAATATTCTAGGGGGTACTATGCAACTAGTTCATAACTCAAAGGATATATAAACTGTTGTTCTGAGTTCTACAGCATACATTCTTAGTACAGAGATGAATACTACCCTAAAGTTATAGGTTGATATCTTTGTTGGTTTCGGAAAAATACAATTAATTAGAAAAAAATATGCAATTTTTGTCATTTTTTCTTGCTTATTTTATATTTGTAGCTTCAAGCAAAATATGATAACTTAAACAGCTCAAAGTAGTATTCTAACAACATTCCCAAGCTATGTGTGATATTGTAATACATCTATTATAGTGATGAAGTACTATTTTGTAATTTTAATATGACTTTATAGTGCCCTACCCCTGGTAAATAGAAGAAAGTTGGTGTGGTTTTCTTCTGGTTTTATAACATTTTATTGTCTTCTTAGTTGACGATACAATCAATTCTGTCAGTTAACCATGAGAAGCTTTACAATGGTTAACTATTCCCATGAATAGAGGGTTGGGACCTCAAAAATACTGTTAAGTGGCATCCTTGGGCAACCCTCTTCAGAGCATTTTCCTTATACTCCGATAAAATCTGCAGGGGATACTATAAGAAACCTGTATATCTAAGATACTAATGAAGATACTGAATTCAAATTTTCAGGATTTGGTCCTGGTATGATAGGTAATCTGTATGACAAAAATGACAAAAAGAAAAAACTCTGTTGCCATAGTAACAAGAACGACACTATTTGTTTCCTAAGAAATGTGTTTTAAGAGGTTTTGTCATTCTCTTCATATTTTTAATTCTAAATATGTCTACAATGTGGGATGATTAAAATTATGGTAAAGTAATCTTTTCTATTGTTCTATTGTTCTCTAAAACAGAAGTTGCTAGGGCGACACATAGATCATAGAAAAAATCCTGAGATGATCGCTCTATTTGTCAGGAAATTAAAATGGAAACTGAAAAATGAGTTTCTTCCTACTGAATAGCAATTTGGTAGACCATGGCTGACACGCACAAGAGAAAACGCCTATCAGTTCTATGTCATTTTGTTGTTATTTTTATTTATTTATCGTGCTCTGGGACTTATAACACCTAATGCCGAATCTTTTCCAACTGCAAAGGAAGGCAAGATTTTAATAATGAACATTCATATATCTCAACAAATATGGCCTAAGATTTGGACAATGATGATGAAACTCTGAGGGTGAATCAGTGCTCATTTAAGGATAGTCTGAATCAGGTGAATTTTTTAACCTAATTGTACCCCTCCCCCAAAGCCCCCAAATTTTGACAATTGTCGAAAAGTGGCAAACAACAATTAAACAAACATCATTAAAGTTCAATATGGCTATTTCGCTTCTATGTCATAAAGATGTGGTACGATCTCAGGCCAATCAATAAAGTTCACAAGAGACACTCTATCTTATGAAGAAAATATTATTGTATTTGAAGACATGTCAAAAATTTGGTGGAAATAATTTTGTCACTCCTGATTTGACTTGGAAAGGTTCAGGTAAGTAATCACAAACAATTTCAGACAGTTATATCTTTGATTATGACTATTTTCTGACCATGAAGACAGGTATACAGGGATAATTAAGTCAATCGGACTCCGAGATATTTCACTAGCAATCAACCCATCAATATATTTTTTCAAAGTTGTTGACCTCATTTTCACCAAAAATGCCATCATTTTAACAATGTTAACAATTCGGTGTCTTTAAAGTCCCTGTACTGGAGCAATCCACTTTTCCTCTTAGGAAATAGAACATGTCTCAAAGCATATTCTAATTATGCATTCAACAATATAATTAAAGGTTGCATCTTTGGTAAAAATTAGGTCAACATTTTTAGTAAAAAGTATGTTGATTGGGCCATTCCCTTTAATATCACTTAGGTCTGATTTCAATCATTATATTTACTTTTCTTGAAGATAATGAATGGATCTAAAAGATATACCCATGTTTATGGTCAAAAAATATTCATAATTCAAGTTAGAATTGTCTGAAGTTGTTTGCGATAACCTACATGCTCCTTTATAACATTATTATGTAAATACAGTAGAACCTGTGTAAGTGGGTCACTCTCCGTTCTGCCAAAAAGCGTTCCACTTAGAAGGTGTTCCACTTATGGAGGTTTTGGGTTCGCAGGGAACATAAAAGATCAAATATAGGATTTATATGTATCATTGGAAATATGATTCTCCCTTCATTACAGGGCAGGTATATACCATTAATAATCCATTTATTTTACTCAAAAAGGTATCTGACATTCTTAATCCTCCTCATTCTGCCAAAAATGTTTTCTGACATTCTTAATCCTCTTAATTGTGCCAGTCTCGGGTACAAAGATTAGGCAATTAAGTTTTAAAGACTTGTTCCTACTGCTAATAATTCAATTGTTTTTAAATGACATTTTTAATCTTACTTATTAAGTTTGAAACAAACAGCAAGGGATATTAATTAGTGGTAGCATCACGTGTCCAGTTCTACAGGAGGTTAATCCAATTTTCTGAATGATAATCTTATGAAATCCTAATTTGCTGATTATCAAATTAATTATTGGTTGCATCACATGTTGACCTCTACAGGAGGTTAATCCATTAATATCCATTAAAGTCCTAATTTGCCAATTATCATAGTATTACCTGTTTTCATACCCAGATATCATTGAAGGAGATTAATTCTGTTTATATATATCAATATTGAAATCTATGGAAATTGACTGTTCCACTGAGCAGATTAATTTTTCAATATGGGGTGTTCACTGTTCAAGTTTGGAGGTGTTCCACTTATCAGGTTAATTTTTCAATATGGGGTGTTCACTGTTCAAGTTTGGAGGTGTTCCACTTACAGAGGTTCAATTAACATTAAGTCAATGGGTTTTTAAAACGGGACTTTGAAAAGGCGTTCCACTTGGGAGGTGTTCCACTTACAGAGGTGTTCCACTTAGCAGGTTCTACTGTACATTTCTTGTGCATGATGACCACCATAGTCTAGTTGCTCAAATGAGATCAATTGATGATGATAATGTTTAGACTTTATGTCAATGTCCAGACTGTATGCCAACCTCTCTAGTATGTGATTACACTAGATTTCATTATGATACATGTACTAAATTGAAAACTTGCATATAAAATATCTTAAGTCCTATATTCTAGTAATAAATGAATTAGAATGTCACCTAACATTTGATGATGGTATGAATTTATTGATTTGGTGTCTATCAATACACGTTTCTAACTTAATGCTGCAAAATGATAAAATTCACCACATCCACTTTTTTCAATTTTCCAGGGGTAGGGCACTATAATATCATATCAAAATTACAAAATAGTACTTCATAACTAAAATAGATGTATTAAAATACCACACATAGCTTGAAAATGTGTTTAGAATACTACTATGAGCTGTTAAAGCTGTCATATTGTGCTTGAAGCTACAAATATAAAATTGGCAAGACAAAAATTGCGTATCTTTTTCCTGTTTTTTGTATTTTTCTGAGACCAATAAGGGTATCAACCTATAACTTTAGGATAGTATTCATATTTGTACTAGCAATGTATGGTGTACAACTCAGAACAATAGCTCATATATCCTTTGAGTTATGAACTAGTTTCATAGTACCCCCTAGAATATTTTCCTAGGGGGGTAAAAATGCCAAAATTTAGTGTCGTGACCACCCCGTTGAGCTTGAGCTTTTAATATCTTTATCAGCATGAAAAACTGATCTAGTAAAAATAGGTTTTTCTAAAAAATGCCTCAAAAACTTGAATTATTTGAATTGGAACCTGTCTATAGCTTTTAAATCATCACAACGACGTGTTATATTCAAAAACTAACTGCTGGGAATTTGTGCAAACAAAGGTAGTACGCAAGAGATGTAATATGTCATCGCTTAAGTTCTTGGGGTTTCCCTCCTCTTAGCAAATCCCATCAAATATTTGTATATACTGTTTGACTTATATAACAACAACAAAAATGTAACATAAGCATGTACAAACTGCCTCCTTTTTCAAAAGAAAATGTGTCATGCCTCAAACAAAATTCTTCTTCAACTTTTTCAGTTAGAACTAAAATCGTAAAATAATACAAAAATGGCTTCCATTTTCAAAATGGTTGCTCACTAGCTAAATTGTCATAAGAAAGTGTAATATGCTTCTAAGTAAGCACATATAAAATTTCAACGAAATTGCACACATGTACAGGTACATGTAAATGGCAGCCATTTTTCAAAAGTTTTATAAGACAGTGTAACAGGCTTATGAGTATTCACATATCAAATATGAACAAAATCATGCTATCACTTTTTGAATTATAGTAAAAAACGTAAAATAATACACGTAAAAATGGCAGCCATTTTCAAAATGGTTCCTTCTAGCCAATGCAATGTATCATAAAACAGTGTGCCATGCTTATGAGTATCATGAGTATTCACATATCAAATATGAACAAAATCACTCTATTACTTTTTGAGTAATAGTAAAAAACATAAAATAATTTAGTAAAAATGGCAGACATTTTCAAAACAACAAAATCGCTCAACAATTTTTTGAACTACAGCAAAAATACTTAAAACAGCATAAACAATAGCGGGCTAATGTTATTTGAGTTATTACCAGCACAGACAGAGGCATTCTCTATATCAATCAGAACTTTGTTAAATGGGGTAATTATTTCCACTTTATATGTTTGAATACCAAAAGCACAACCTTGTCCTGTAATTTTTTTGGCCACTATACACATATAATATTTGAATGAGTCTCATGTTTGCACATTTGCCTATTTGATATTTTGACAACTAAATCAATAAATATTTTTTATGTCCATGTGATTCAGTCCATACTAGTCTGCAGCTTTTCATTTCTAAATTTACATAAATATTATGAAAAAATACAATTAATTTTCACCTAAAAGGCAATCTTATTAGCTGCAGTATAGTTGAAAAAGTGAATTTATCCAGGGAATTGATACAGAATTTGGATGAACGAAACTATGGTATGAATGAAAGTATATGGATAAGTCAATAAGGAAATATCACAGGGAATTCTAAAATTTAGTTTAAGTTTAAGAATCTTTAGAATGAACTCAACATTGTAAAATATATTGCCCTTAGGATGAACATGAAGTCAATGTCATGGAGAAATAATGTCAAAAATAGTCACAATTCAAATTCATATTCATATTTACTTAATATGTACAGGGTGGCCCAAAAGTAGGTCCAGAGACTTTTCAAATAAAGATTTTATTATCTCTGAGATCAGCAGTACTATAGTACAGTTTAGCAGGACATGTACAGGCCTGTCAACTGTCCCGCAATTTGCGTATTTGTCACGCATTTGCTGAAGAATTTGAAGTCACGCCAGTTATTTTTGCGTGACAGAAAATGTCACGCAAATACGCATTTTACCTGGTAATTGTCAAGCAAAAATATTTCTGTAGAAAAATTTCAAAAAAAGATCGTCTGCACAGCAAAAATACGAACGCCGGAAAAAAATGTACGCATTTCGTTCGGACTTTTCACGCGAATTACGTACATGTCACGCATTCCGTTCGAAAATTTTTCGCACCTACCCCCCCCCCCCCCCCCCCCCCCCCCCCCCCCCCCGTCGATGGATGTTTGAAACGCGAGCATAGCGAGCGCGAAAAATTTGAGGTGTTCAAAATTTGGCAAGATGTAATAATATGGATACCAAGTCACTCATGTTAGGTGTTCCCAAGTTGACAGGCCTGCATGTAGTAATGGTCAAATTTACATGAAAGTTTTGTAAACTACAATAATGCCAAATTATGAGTCTCAATTATGGATTATCAAAAGGTTATTTGAACTCCAGGTCCACTTTTTGGTGTTACCCTGTCCTGTATTAAACCTGGGACATACAAATTGAAAGAAAAGTTTAGCACACTGTCCAGGCCTCCTTCTAATACCTACATGTATGTGGGCACTCTTTGGTGGGCTGTGATTATACACAAATATAAGAATGGATTCACAAGCTCAAGAAAATTCAAGAGATGAAAATGGTTGCTGGGCAAAGTGTCAAAACAAAAAGAATCTTAGGATAGATGATTATGAGAAAGCAACACAATTTTGGTTATTTAGTTGTAAGCGACCTCACATGAGAGGTTTCCAGGCATCCTGGTTTGGCACTTTCATTGCGTTTTAAGGTTGGTTCTGTGTCCAGTCATTAGTTCCAGATATCCAAGAAGATCTGAATTTGACAGATGAAGATGTTGTAAATTCTGGTAAGTAATGTGTTGGACTATTTCCATTTAGAAACAAAGAGAAATCTTGGGAGCCAAAACTATCATGTTACCAGTTATCTTGGTGGACATAATGATATATCACAACTTGTAATAATCAGGAATTATTGAGACAATTTTGACGTATGTGTATGTTTATTTTCAGGAATAGCTGCAGTAGCCTCTGTGATAGGGGTGCGGCTTGCAGCAGGTCCATTGACTGATCGATTTGGTCCAAGACGTATCATGGCTATACTCCTCATGGCTGGGGGAATTTCGCTGGGAATAACAGGCCTCATATCTACTGCCAATGGACTTATAATCACTAGATTCTTTATTGGCATTCTTGGTGCGACAATTGTTCCATGTAATTCTTGGACAGTCAGTTTGTTCAGTTCTGATATTGTTGGTACTGCAGATTCATTAGCAATTGGCTGGGGAAATGTGGGAGGAGGAGTCGCTTTTCTCGTAATGCCTCTGTTGCTAAGACTGGTGCTACTGACTGGAGTGGGGAAATCAAATGCTTGGAAGATAACTTTGACTATTCCCGCAATAATATGTCTTATAACTGTTTTGGCTATTCACAGATGACTGCCCACAAGGTAGATGGAGTTCAAGAAAGACAATAGAAGAAACATTAGGAGAAACAGACAGACTTGAAACTGTCAATGGAACAATTAATGCAGCATATAATTCCACAAGTGAGAACAATGTTCACTAGATAACAGTAACGCAAAAATGTAGCAAATCACATAAAACAGCCATGGCTGCCATTTTTACAAAATCCTTCCACTTCTTTTTCATTCACAGCAAAATCGTCATTTTGAAAATGGCCATTTTGAAAATTGACTTTGGAACACAACAACTACCCCATAGGGCATATGTGTACAAAATATGAAAATAATCAGCCCAACGGTATTTGAGTTATCGCCCGAATGGACTGACGGAGGTGTTCCCTATATAACTCCGAACTTTGTTGAAAAAACACAAGAAAAAAACAATAGATCAATTACTTTTCAAGCTGATGCATAATCAGAAATAAAGCGTAGGCGTTAATAGGAGTTAATCATTTTAATTATTTACACATTTTTGCATCATATATCTTCAATACCTCTATAGCCTATATGATGTATTTGTACTTGCAGGTGATGATTCAATAGTTCCAGTGCAGCTAAGAGAAAATAATACTTCCAAGAAATTCACTAAACATAATAACCAAGGATTTCGAGGGCATGTTGGATTTAGGATATTTGCAATTGCTGTCCTATTCATACAATTTTCAGGTATTGGAATATCTATTTGCAGTACAATGAATCTGTACCTATTGCGAAAATCAAAGACAAAAACTGTGAACTGAATGATTCCACATTTGCTAATACTACAATGGGCAACAAATGCTCAAGTATTAATTCAGAAACTGCCAGTTTAATAACATCCATTTTTAATCTCATGAATCTTTTTGCTTGTTTTACTGGTGGTTTCTTCTCTGATTTACTTGCCAAACATTTTAATTTATCTGGCAGGCTTATGATTCATTCACTTTTTCTCGCCATGTATGGTTGGTAGTTTGATGGTTTGATGGATTTCTCAAATCAAAAACATCCAGGTAATTTCCAATAATGATAAATCAATAATCTTCTTGATTCACACCTTTCTCTTAATCCAAACATAAAACATTCAGTTCTTTTCTAATAGGATAAACCAATTAACTCCTGTATTCACACCTTTTCAAATCATCCTGTTGTTTTCCACAAATAAGGGATGTCACTGAGACTAAATAAGTTAATTAGGACAGTATTGGTTCTTTGATTACATTGTACATGTATATGTAAAGATAAATAACAACTATAACATTGACTCAATATGTGGCTATTATTGAAATGTCCAGACATTTGATTTCTGATAAAAATGTTCAGATTAGACAGGCCACTTTTTCATATCTGGTTGTTCACTGTTCAGATTAGGAGGTGTTCAGATTTCAAGGTTCATTTAACATGGGAGTCAATGGGAGGAAAAAATGGGACCGAAAAAAAGTGTTCAAATTGGAAGGTGTTCGGATTAGCCAGGTGTTCAGATATACAAGTTTTACTGTAGGTGCAAATAGAATTTTTTTGGGTGCAATTCTATTCGCTTTGACATAAACAGTGCATGTTCTAGCATTTAAAGCAACCTGTAATTATGATTGATAAATAAGGTACTATTGATAAAATTAATTATGAAGGACACAATTAGTTTAAAACACATTTGCTTGGGATTTCAATTGTTGGACATTAATCATGTCACTGACTGATAAATGTCACTAATCATGAGTTACTACAAACTTCAAATTGTTAGATTAATGTTAATTCAAGTAAAATGTAAAAAGCAAACATTTACTTACTTAAAATGCTGTTTGACTAATGTATCTAGTTGTTGTCTTGTTTTCACACCTAATCTGAAGTAAAAATGTGAAATATACCACATAACGTGCAACGGATAATAAAAGTGGAAGTTATCATTTTTCCAAATATTGTTAATGCATAGACAGACAGATGGATGAGTGAGTGATTCCAATGGGTCATCGTGTGAGCCCAAATAACTTAATAAATATACAACAAGAGAAATCACAACTTGATATGGTTTTGAAAACACTTTCAAAAACACTTGGACAGTTTCTGTGGAATATTTTGCTAGATCTACTTATTAGAAAAAAACTAAGCTGTTAGCAATTTTTAAAAGGAAGAGTATAAGTATTACATTCTACATACGCTTTAAAACATTCTGCATATTTCACTAGAGGAGGCAGTAGGTTACCCTGTTTGTTCTCTACAAAATCATCTACTGATTCTGAAAAAGTTCAATATTTTCAGAATTAGAACATACAGCTTTAAATAAATGTACATTATGTAGAGTATCAAATAAAGTTTTTGTATAAAGTAAAACTTGAATATCTGAACACCTCACAATGTGAAAACTTTTTCAATCACATTTTCCCCATTTATTTGACTCTCATGTTAAAAATTTTGAAATGTGAAGATGTCCCAATGTTAATTTTATTTGAAACATTAGCCTTCTACTGTGACGTTTCACAAAATATCACATGCTTTTAAGTTTTATGCAATTGCTATTTAAATAAAAACATAATTTTTCTTATAGGGCTGAATGAATAAATATTCTTTTCAATTATTGCTATGCAATAAAGTTTTATCCTCAATGGACCTATCAATATTTACAGAGAATATTTTGAATTGTAAAAACTCGAATTAATCCAAAAACCTTTAACATACTACTAATCTGAATGCCTTTTAAAAAACTGCATATAATTTGCTCCAGCCAAACATAAAATGATAAAACTGAGAACTTTTTTCTGAAAAAGATGTGTTGGTCTTTTTCTTACCTACCATTTTCAAATGCCTTTACTTTTTCAAGTGTTTCTTCTATGACCTTTGCAAGGTCCTCAATTGCATTTATGATTTCTTTTTTCCCTGGGTCTGCTGCCATTCTCACCTAAATGGGTGGAAGAAAATACATTTTATGATGTCAGATCATAAAAGTGTCAAGTAATTGCCTGGGACAATGGAATATTTCAAAGATCCCAAGCAACATGTACTTTCCCTCATAAAGATGTCGGTATAAAATGAGAAGATCAGACACAATACCAAAAAAATTCAAAAATTGACTGCCTAAATACAATGTATGCCATTGTCAAGCTATAGTGGGTTATACATGTATTATGATCTACATGTAGTCGTTATACTTCAGAGTAAAGAGTTTAATCCCTTACTTAGTAGTGTTATAGGTAAATTACATGCGGAGGTGAGTGGGAGATATAAATAAAATTCCCAGGAATTTCGTTTTATGTTAATATAAAAGCTGTGGAGTTTTTAAAAAACAATAGATGTTAAGCCTTTACATTTAGATAAGATATTTATGCTTTGATTCCCAGTATACTCAAACTTCAGATTGAATTAATTTCTTCGAAGATAATTAGATTGAAACAAACAATCCTTAATGTCACCACAAGACTTTATCCTATTTAGTCTGAATTATATTCAGACTATAAGGCACCTATGTTAAAGTTTGGTAATTCCAAATATTTGTTTACATAGGAAGTGCTATTCAAAATGGCCGATTGGGTAAAATTAATTTGCACATTTGTTACTTCAACTAGCTTTATTTCAACTTGACAATATGCTGTGTTACTTTTTATTGCATTTCATTGTACCTTACTATTTAATTGATATTTTGAAATGTTTATTTTATTGAAGAAATGGTTCCTCTAATTGATAATTTTGTGCAAAAAATTTCACTGCAATTTCCACAGGAAAGTAGTACATCATAACAGACTGACTTCTAGTCAGTCTGTTGCATAGGCTAAGGGAAAAGTAATAGTAAGCTGTATATAGAAGAGACTGTCTCTTCTATATACAGCTTACTATTACTTTTCCCTTAGCCTATGGTCTGTTGGATTTATCCCGTTCCCGGACTATAGTCCTGCACTGATCGCATTCATTTGCCTGTACGATTACAACTTGGGAGAATTATCTACGCCTCTTACACTTAAGATACCTACCTCAATGCATTATAGAACTCAAGATGTAACTTCTAATATATTGGAACCGCCGATTGTCTGGGTATATCGGTAGAACGAGAACATTTTCTCTTTTTCATCGAGAGAGATTCCATCACTTTTCAAAATGGCGGTTGGATTTAAACGGGGAATCCCCCGTTTGGCTGTCCCGGATGTAGCCCGGAAGTACCAATATGGAGAAATTTGACGGTTGAAAAAGGTTAAATGTTACACGCAAATATTGCGATCAAAAACGAAAATGTCTTCGTTCTGCCGATAAACCCAGACAATTGTGGATTCAACTACACGAAAAGAATGCTAAATTACCAAGGAATCTATTGAAGTAGGTATCTGAAGTGTAAGATCAGTAAAAAATTCTCCCATGTTGTAATCGTACAGGCAAATGTATGGGCTCCGTACAGGACCATAGTCCGGGAACGGGATAATGTTGGATACATACTAATGTCACCACCATAGGCCCAGGAACATTAGACTTTACCGTTGTCAGGCTATTTCGGGGTGACATAAGTGTAACTTTAATTTATACTTTTATGGTGTAAAACCAAGTTCAACAAACAACTCTGACAGACAAAAAAAATTGTTTTGGTTGTTTTGCATCTGAATGTGAATGTGTTCATAAAGCAAAACATGAAATACTTCATATACTTACAGTGTACCCCTTAATTACTCAATATTACATTCTTCTTAGTACCTATGTTTCGAGAATGCTGTTAACCATACTTTATGGAAAAAATAAACATAAAGTTGTTGGAACTATATTTTTAAATACTCAGTCAAACTGCTGCTCAATTACGCAAGTCATATGACATTCAAAATGGCGGCGCCCTCGGAAGATATTAAAAGTAAACAAACCACAGTCAGAGAGAATGTTTCTGGCGAAAGGAGATTCTGGGATTTCAAATACAATAAATATAGTTCCAGGGCAATTCGAAGAACGTATTAGATGTCCGTGAAACAAACCTTATTATAAAACAACATTGATTATCGCACACTGACACTTTTATCAATATCAGACTCATCTAGAAGCAATAATATAATCTGAGTCCTATATAAGTTACTAGCTTATATACTAGCTGAGATACTAGCTTATAGATCTAATTATTATCTTCGATGACATTTCCTTTCCAATTTTTTTGTAATGAACCATTACAAAAATTATCTAAGATAAGAGATAATGATATCTATCTTCCTTTTCAGGTAACCTGTCTCCTATGAATTATAAAGGGCTATCGACCCGATAATGTTACTAATACCCATGCTAGAACTATGAAAAATTTACTGTCAACATGTAAGAAACAATTTGACTTCTTTTGTGCTGATGGAATAATAAGCTAACTTTCTTTGGAACACTTACTGGCTCTCCAAGCTGTCTTCAGACTCTTCAGTTATACATCAATGACCAAGCAACTTTCAAATCTTCAGACTCACACTCCAAGATCTCAAGTACTGTTATCAAGTACATGTATGTACTGTGACTATGAGTGAATTGGTTGTATATGTACATGTAGTCTTAAGTTATAACTCAAAGTGCAAACAATAACTGTCACAAAACCAGGCAGAATAATGTGTTTTGCCTTTGAGGTATGATGTATACACCATTGCTCATAATTATTACATCCTTGGACATTTGTTTGGCATCTTTAGAAGCAAATTGATTTGATTTGGTAATAGGGTGTCTTTATTATGGTTTTGAAAAAATATGAAACAATTCATCAGAATTAATTACACAAAGGTCATTTCACTCATTTGTCTCTGTACAGCATTATTATAGCCTATTCTACAAATACCTATGAGCATTGGTGTATTTAAAAAAGCGCAATAAAATGGAATGTTTCCTTTCATTTTACAATTCTACATTTTTTGGGTGATTTAAAACTATGCATTTGGAATAGAATGCAAAATCAAAGCAGTGTTATCAGCCAAACAAAAGTAGGTAAAATTTAACCCTCCTACCCCAACTTGAAATACTAGGCATACATTGAGGTTTGTATGGATTGAATCCCATAGTTTATTCATCTAATAAACAACAAAAAATGAGAGTATGTATTTACTTTAGTTTATTTTACATTTGTACAAATATTACATAAACTTCAAAGCCAAACTATAAATTATAATTGCAACAACAACAAATACATTGAAGCATTGTAAATATGCCAAATATGGACGGATCAATAGTGTAGACATAACTATCTCAGAAAATTCATAAATTAAATCCTTAAAAGGACATATTAAAAACTGTTTGAAATATTGGTATTAAATAACATTGTTTTCTCCATATATTTACAATTTTATGTACAATGAGTTATTAGTGTGTATGAGATACAGTGTATACAGATTTAATGTGCAACCTTTTATTATGGACTCACTTACAGAAAGTCAAAGCTGACCAATAATTACTTTAGGCATCTAAATGATGTTAATAAGTTTCAAAACAATATGATACAAATACAATCATTATTCATTGCTAACTGATTTTGATATGGGCGGATTAATACATCTTGAATAACATTTTATAAATGTTTACATTTCAAATTTGAATGTTTCTTTGAACTGAACTTGATATTGAAGGTGCAATGCTGTATCACCTTCATTCAACTAATTTTTGATTACATTACAGGTTAGGCCTATGGAGCATTCAAGTTCCTTCTTATATTTTCAAAACACAAAACAAGTGGTTTGAAAAGTAATATTACATTTGGCATAAGCTGTATGTAACATTATTATCTATTGTAAGATGAGCACATCTAATGCTGATGGGGACAATCTCATGTAAAGAATGCTTAGTGAAATATATGACAGAAGTCTTGATACTTTTATAATACATGTACATTTTCTTCTTTCCAAGGAATGCGAATTCAGAGATGCAATACTCATGTTTGTGATAATAACAAGCATCAGTTAGTTCATAGTTTAAATAGTTTATCTATTTATATGTAAGATACATGTATCATCGTGTACATTTTAGCTGTTTTATCAATATAAGTACATGTAATAAATACAATATAGGCACATACATGACATATTCACAGGGTGATGCATGTTACATATCTTAATACAGCGATCTTTGTCATTTACATTCATTGAATCGTTCTATTTATTACATACCCTATATGTATTCTAGATGCTCGTTGGCTTACAAAGTCAAATGATATGAAATAACTGGAAAGTCCTAAATCCCTGCTAACATGGACAATGAAAAGTACTAATGACCAGTAATGTCATGTGACCAGTCAATCATACTTTTTTTCTTCCTTGCTAGCAGGGATTATAGAAGACCTCTTTTGATTTCTACAAACAACATGACTATAGTCATGCAGTTGGCATAGCAACACAACCTCTATGGTCAATAGACTCAATACCCAGAATGCCCTGGTTTTTAGTTCAAAGAAGCAGTATCACTTTTTAATGACATGTGATACACTATCCATCAAGTTGATGTTAGCAACACAACCAAACAATTCCTGCTTATTAATAATTACCCAAAATGTAATAATAATCCAGTTGCCATAGCAACATAGCTTATACATTATTAAGCAGATACATTAGTCATCCAGCTGGCATAGCAATGCAACACCTCTCATTACCCAGAATGCAGGGTCATGTATTGTTGGTAATTCAACAGCTGTGACAAAGTTTGTTGAGTGGCCAGCTGAAGAAAGAGTTCCAGCACGTGTTGATGTCCTGTATAGAGGGCTCTCATAGGCTTTAACTGAGGTAACTCCAGAGTCATCTTTAGGAGACTCCGCAGGTTTATTTTCTCTTTCCTTATTCATGGGTGTAGGCAGAACTGGATCTGTGTTAATCTAAAAGAATATAAACAAACAAAATACAATTTTTTATGGAAAATATAGATATGAATGATTTGTATGATCATATCCATATGATATCAGGCAGTTTGAAATATATACATATACTTCACAAAAATATTAAACTTTACCTACTGTATCATTACATGAATGTAAAAAAATTATAGGATGCTGTACCTGGACTGGCAAGAAGTGTATTTCAGGAAGTCTACAATATCGCTGGCCAGGTAGAGAATCTTGTAAGGAGTGTGATGACACATCCCACCTTGCGCCATCTATGTAGAGACCAAACACTAAGACACCATCATCAGGAGGAGCAGAACCCTGAAGGAAAATTCCAAATAATGAAATGTTCATGTCATAGAATGTTATATAATCAAGGTTCAATGTAGTGTCAGCCAAAACCTCAGTTAGTTTTGATCAGGTCCAACTGACTATTTCAGCCTTTACAGAAAATTACAAGACCACTACTGGTTACTTAGTATAATTAAGTGGTTCATCATTAAATTTTGAACAATAAGAATGAAGACCTAATGATGCACCATAATACGATACTAGTATACAGATTCAAATATATTAATTTGACTCATTAGCCTTATAATACAGTAATCCCTTATTCAGGAATTTGAGCAATAATGTCAAAGATGATAGCAACCAGAAAACTGCAACACCACAGAGAAGCAAAACCCAATGATTCGTTCATTGGGATAATTATAAGAGTTTAAACCACACACATCCTATCCTATACCTCACCTTAAATGCTAACTTCTGGACATCAAGTCCCTTCTTGACTTCATTCAAACTATCCTCATCCCCTTCCAGCTTGTGTGACATCACCTCAAAGTTAAATGAAAGAGAATCTACAGAGACACCCATTTTCCTTGCATGGTTTTGTAACACCCCAGTCAGGAAACCTACAAATACAAATATTTCAATAAACACAAATATTTCAATAAACTACAATTCACAATAATCGGTCTATGTAGCTTTGGATGATATTTACAATGGTGCATAACACTTATCATTATGTCTGAGACATCTGTATATATGACTCTGAACTGCCCTGTACAGTAAAACATGTAGACGTTATTCATGTTAATATCTCTCTGAAGTGGGCACATTTTGAAGTGAAGACATTTCCGTTCCACTTTTGGATATCGCAATTGACATTCCAGTTATCAGGAACTCTAAATATGAAAACTTCAAGCTGGTCCCAGCAGCTCTCTGATCATTGTGCTCCATTGAAATTTCAAAACTTATGTAAGCTTTATTCACCTTGTGGGAAGAAGAAACCAGGTAGCCAGAAACTACGGGGTTGATCACGTAATTTATCAAGTTCATCAGGGTCTGTTACTGTCTTCGCTGCTGCCTTCTGATTGGCTGGTCTTTCTAAAGCGTTGATGACGAGTTCCGACCAATTATAGAACATGTCTACTCTCTGAACCAGGTCTTTTACCCATGGGAAGAGAGGCTTACATGACTCATAGGACATTTGCTAAAAATGTATAAATGGTGATGTTCATCATTTTGAGATAAACAAGTAAAATATTGACATAAATACATGTATCATGAAACCAAATATTATTTATAACTGATACTTATATCAAAAAGAACTATTACAAAATTGAAACAAGGCTTTTACGTGGATTTTGTCACCACCTACCATTTGTTACAGACACCGCCAAGTGCCTGCCGAACACCAACTGCCATTTACGAAAAATGGGGACACTATAGCAATAAGTCATCACTTCTGGTGGTAACATAAAAAACAAGTTGATTTCTTGAGGAAAATAAAATTTGGAGTCATGCTTAGGTAAAGGAATCAATACAATACAAAGAAATGATGAAAATAAATACCTTCCATCTAGCTGGGACCCTTTGTTTGAGCATAGCATTATATGCTTCCTCCAGTTCATCTGACATGACAATCTCTCCCTTAATAGCTAGAGTGAGGGCCTTTAATGACTTGTGTATGACTCCCAGCAGCAAATTGAACCTGTCTATCTCCTGCCTCAGCACTATCACTAGTGCTGAGTTGAGCAATGGTTTGCTCTCTTTGCTTGTTTGAGCTGAAAGTTGATCATAGTTTCAATGATATGCTTGAGGTCAGGGACAGATCTGGGAATTCAATTTGGTGGCTCATGATGTAAAAGGAGCTTATATGTGCAAACTGCAAAACACATTTTGGGTTCAATATGAAATATTGAGCTATAGATTTTTTCAAAAATCTTTCAGACATTTAAAGATATCTGAGTAAAATCTGCCCCGAAGGCATGAAAACAATAGAGTTAATAATATAAATGGTTGCCACCATTAAATGATTTTTACCATTCTCTTTATCATTGGTGGAAAATTCCTTCACAGCTTTGGAAATTGTTCTTCTTGGTCTCCCTTGCTCATTCTCTCCATATTCAACTATCTCTGGCAGAGTTCGTAAAATGTCTAACACCATATCTAGGACCACAGTATCACTGCTTTTTCCTCCAGATCTAGAGAGCAATTACAAATAACACTCATTTAATTTTCAAGTTTTTTGGAATTAACAAACAGGTAAATAGTGACCGACCATGTGAAATGTCTATAAGTATGTGTTTTTCAATAAGACAGGATAATATTGCATATATTTATTTTTCAAAAGGTCTAATAATCATTTTCAAGGAGGGCTATGGAGAAAAACCGAGGAGAGGGACTTACCTCATGATAGATTGAGTTAGCCTAGGTTGTATGCTAACTAAAGTATCAATTAACTGGAAGCTCTGTGCTTCTAAGTAGGCCTTCTCTGAGTTCTCTGTCATACCAAACAGCTCTGGAGAATCAGAGTTTGGTAGACCCTCAACATACATCCGTGTGTCTGAGAAGCTGAATGTTTGGGGAAGAGGGTGGTAGATCTAAAAGTAAAAAATAATTCGTCACAATTATAATTTACTAGTATTCTAAATATTTGGCCTTTGTAGATAATTAATAAAAGAGAAAAAATTTTTAGCAGTAAATTCATTAATTTTTGCAATAAAATTTGATCTTTCCCCAACAGAGCATTTAGTTTTTATATATTGTAGTTAAAATTTTAGAAATGTTCCATGTTACAAACCCCATCAGGTGAATAGCTATAATCAGGCTCAAGTGCAGCAGGGCAGTAGAACTTGTTGAGCATGCTGTGAAGTGTCCTCCTGTCCCAGTCATCTGTAACTCTTCCACCATAGGACACTTCTCCAGTCAGGTACTTCAGGGCAGCCCAGGGAATGTTCTCCTGTTTACCAAACAAGTTCCCTAGCACCAGCACACACACCTAGAATGATGACGAATTCACATAGAGAAAATCTTCTCACTGTGCGCACCCATGTTTAATGTGTTCACTGCACTATAGATAGGTGTTCACTACAGACAGGCAATTTTATACAGACATCAGTGGAGTATGTGCAGAGAAGAGGTGTTCACTAGAGAGAGGTGTTCGCTACAACAGTTTTCACTGTACATCATTTTGCACCGTCATTTTGTAAACCCTTAACATTAACATCATTCTACATGAGTGATTACTTTAAACTTCACAAGTTTTCAAGCATATTTAGGCCAAATTATCATAGAGCAGTCTTCGCTTCAAATATTCATCTCAATAAAGACTCATATTTGCTTCTAATACTGTACTCCCAGTTACTTTTGCGAGTTTTAATTTCGCGGCTATTAAATTTCACTAAGTACACCTACTACTATGTCATCTTGGTAAACGACACGCTGCACCTTAACCACTATTACATCATAATTTTTGGGTTTATTTGATCTAATAAGCCAATGTAACAGACATTGTTACTTAGTATCCCATTTATAGCCTCAAAACACATGACAAACATTTTACAAAACACAAAATGCAATGGAGTCCCAGGTTAATACAAAATTTTACAAATGCCAGGGGATTTATTTGACAATTTCATGAAGATAAATTTTCGCGATTTTAACACATCCCGGCCGCGAAAAGCGCGAAACTAAATCGCACGCGAAAAATACTGGGAGTACAGTAACAGTAAGTCTAAGCTTTTAATGAGATTTTAAATCATTGCATACTTCTAGATATGATTCACTTAATTAGACAAGAAACTTTAAATAATATTCATACTACTGTTTATGTAATCTTGAAAAGATACAATAATATGTCAAAAAAGTTATATATATTACCTCTAGATCAGAGTCATTAAACTCATATGGTATGTTCCATCCAAGGGGCCCATACTTCTTGCGCTCATTGATGACAGCGTTGAATATACAGAGACCAAAGAGGAGGTTTTTCCATCCCACTTTTTGCTCAGCATCATCGTACATCTTGTCGTTAATGGAACCAGCTCCACCTGGACTGAATGCTTGGAGTAGCTTTGCTTTGAGTCCTTGTGGAGCCTCAACGGTCATCTATAACACACATTACTTGATGACCATGATGTTCAGATGGCATGAAATGTTATAACATATTGATGGCATGATTAAACAGGGGATTAACAATATCACAACCTGCCATTTGTTACAGATGCTGAATGCCAAACACCAACTCCCAAACACTGACTGCCAAACACCATCCACTTCTGGTGGTGATGTAAGATTAAAATAAGAAAAATTAAGTTAAATTGTGTCAGAAAACATTATTTATGACATTACATATGGAAATATACATGACATATATTCTTCACTTTCTTCTTTGACATGAATTATAAATTAAAGAGACTTGCCTTTAGACCTGTTTGCAGTATGGGTATAGGGAAACATGGATCTGGCTTTGAACTTAGAAACAGTCTGAACTGGGGATCCACATCTGAGTTTGGCATGTTAAACCTGTATGTAAGATAAGGATATGTATTATACGACACAATATTATACAAAATATTTTCATCATGGGTAGTCATGGATTTTGTGTCTCGTTTTTCAAGAGGAAATTGCCTCTTGAATGTTATATCTAGAGAGTCGATAAAAGATAAAAATGTATATGAGCAAGGGAAGACAAAACTATTCAATACAAAAGTTTAAGCAATCTTTGACTTACTTTTCAACAATAGCCTGTAGGCGATGCATCCATGAAGCTGCAAGGTGGCAATTCTGTAGGAACAGCCACCTTCCCTTTAATATCTGAGCCTTATTGATCAGTTCCTCAGCCTTGGGACCCTGTCCTCTCCCCAGAGAAATCATGTCCAGGTGAAGTGTAGACCCCCGCAGATCTTTAGCGAAACGCAACAATTGGGCTCCAGGATCAGAACCTGCAATTTAAAAATTTGAAATTATCTTTCAGCAATATACAAAACACATGATTATACATGTACATATGTGGAATTAGTTTTAGTTTTTTTGGATCAGCTTTTACAAAGAACAGTATTTATTATTGATTGGTCAAAAGTTACTGCTGCTATGGCAACTTGTTTTGGTAAAGCAATGGAATTCATGATGGGAAAAACACTCCATTTTAATTAAACTCTTGTGAACTACGTGTATATCTCATCTTTAATATACAAACTAAATGTAATCAGTTACCTGGTGAAAGGATAAAGATGAGTGGTGTTTTAGCAGTGGATTTCTCAAACATCTCCTTAAGGTCAAAGTGTCCAGCAGATACAAACTGACTTCCCATTTGTTCTTCAACAAAGCTACGAATCGTGGCTGTTGTCATTTCAGGACGTAGAATCTTGATAAGGAGGAGACGTTGGAAGTCGCTGAGAATCTCCCAGTGGAATGTGGTTCCTGTTGTCTGTATGCCAGGCACTAAGTCAGGAAGCTCTCCTATAATAAGTTACATACAATAAGTACATTTTATGACAAAAAAACAGTTGAATTGAAATGTAGTGTTAATGTATGCCTCGGTCAAAATACTCAATCGGCCGGGCGCCAGCCGATGAATCGGAGCAAATAGACCCAGGCATTAGCCAAATGGTTCCGAAAGTGAAAATATTCATGCCTTGTCGGAGATAATTTCACTAAAAATAGACATTTCAGATGTAGCAAAGGTAACTTAACATTAAGGTTTACCAGGTGTTACTATGATTTATAGACTTGCATAATGTACATTGATATATAAGTAAAACAGCAACAAAATTTATCCCACTCTGCTTTCCTTAAAAGCAGGATATCAAGACTACCCACCTTCTGGCCTCTCATATTTTGTAGCCATCAGATGGTAAGGCCTATCAGAGGAGCCAAATGCCTCCCATTGGGGCCTGTTGTTTATGATACTCTTACAGAGGTCCTTGAACACATCAATGGAAACCTCTAGGTGTTGACACTGACGCCACATATTGTCAGCTATCCATGTTAACCTTGGGACTGGCACACCACCTCTGGATTGGAGCTCTAATCGCTGCATTGGAGTAAGACCTGAAAACAACAAATTATCGTCCCAAAAGTTAAGTCCCTGGATATATGAGCAAATCATGGATCTTAAAAACTGATAGAAAGTTGGTCACCTACATAGTACACAATGGCAATTGTATTTGGCCTCTAACTGAGAATAACATATTCCACAATAAAATAATGGTTATTCAAGGATTTATAACAAATCTGTCTCTAATAAATCAAACAAGTTATCAAAAGTTATGTATAGCAAAAATAAACATTTAGGAATTAAAATATTTCAGTATATTAGTATACTGTAGGATACTCACCATCATGTTCTTCTAACTGAGATTCATCTAACATCTTAGACATGATTGGTCCTTGCAGGAAAACTGTCCATTCAGTCTCTGTTATTTTGCCAGGTTTACCTGTAGGATACCAATGTAATACTAATAATTTGTAGTTAATTAGTATTCTTGAGTTACAGCCTTTGCAGAAGTTATCAATAGTCAAATGACACTGAATATATGTGAATCCACATAGAAAATGTGAATAGAATTTTCTTCATCGGTCACTTGATATGAAACATAAAAAGCCCTATAAGTCTTAGCTGACTTTTCTGTGTTGATATCCTCAATCAAATATCTTTAAGTTATATAAATAAGGATCTATCCCCTCCAAGTCATACAACTAGATTTCTAATCATATTTGAATAGATAACTCTAAATCAAACTTAGTCAAAGCTTAAACTCCAATAAAACTCAATGAAACCCATTAAGGTCATTAAGATCAAAATTAGAATCATGTTCAATAGTGATAGGGTGATGATATGATTCAGAGAAGCAATCTACTATAATTTACCTGCATATCCTGTAGTGTATTTAGCTATAGCTCTCATAATGTTAGCACATAGCATTAGTGACAATAGTAGTTGATGGTTGGCAAACAGTGCCACTGATACAGTCTTATATACAGTGATAGTCAACCTGTCAATCATCTCTGTTAAATGCTTAGTAAGGTCAGCACTTGATTCACGCATGGCAGACTCCCGGATACGATTTGATGAAAGTTCTGGACTACTTCTAGCCGAGGAGGGACGTAGAGTTCCACTGAGGTGAGAGCTACTTCCTGACTGGGGTTGAGAGTCAAGGGGGTCACTAATACATGAGCTGAACATGGTACGGAACCAGTGGAGTGAGAACTGGTACATTACGTCTATGTTAGCCAGGTCAGCTATCACAAAGTATAGCACTGCTCCACGTGTGGCAACCTGCAAATGGAAAAATGAACAATTTATTTGTGCAAAACAGCAATTACTAGAACTATACCCTATGTTACAAATGATTACTTTCTTATTTGAACATCTGCAAATGGGTGTTACTATGATTATTATAGCCATTGGAAATATGAAGGCCATATGCATAACAATATTATATGTCTATTTCTTTTATTAACAAGAAATGCAGCAAAAGTTGTTATTGGATCATGAACACAAAAATAAATCCTGCGCTAAGAGCTGATGTGAAAAAGTCAGTCAACCCTAGTGGGGATTGAAACGATGACCCCTCGCTCTCACGGCGACTGGTCTACCATTGAGCTATTAAGTGTAGAGTACTCTGTACTTACAGGAAGGTAACGTTTCCTGGCTATGTTAAGTTTCTTTTCAGTCTCTTCTGATTGGTGCACACGCTTGTGGATCTCCCCAGACATCACCTTACTCCTTTGTAGGGTTTGGACCAATACTTGGTCATCTAGAATATGGCCTGAAATTGCATGGAATAAAACAATAGTGAACCTACATTCAGTACATACATATATACATAATCGTTTTAATGTGACTAATTCCACTTTTCTTAGAACTACGATGCAAGGCATTAACTGCAAATGTCACAACATGCCCTTTGTTACAGACAGTAACCACTGACTTGTTTGCATGTATTACTGTACTCCCAACCATTGGGGCCAATACCATATTTCTGTTCTATAAAATACCTTCAGTTTTCTGCAATAGCTCTAATGATTTATCCTCAAGGTCCCTGAGTAACTGTAGGTCATTAGCTATACTCTCCAACAGAATACTTCGTTCTTGCTCCAGTTTAGGTCTTTCCTAATATTGCAGAAAGATATAAATGAACACATTAAAATTAGACCAAAAATGTCATGATGTGATAACAGCAGAATCTTTGATAATAATTTGACAATAAGCATAGTAGTTATGTGAAGTATTAGAATATGTCAATTCCTGCTGAAAAAATCCTATTGAAAATTTTAATACATAGGACCTGAAAATATTATTATAGACAGCTGGTGAGGAGCTAAACAAGTAAAATGAGAATGTAAACCTTGAAAGTGCTGTTCATTGAGATTTTTGATCATAATAGTCATTTCAAGATTTACAGTTGAAAAGTTCAATTTAATAAAAGAAAATTTGAATACTGAGTTCTATTTTACAAACAATAATTATATTAAATGCATGGAATTAGTAACAATAACATAAATAAATAAAAACAAACTGTAAACTCTAACATAACAGGTAAAAGCAATAATAAAAAGACAGTAGCTGTAAACAGTACCTCGGCCTCTTTAATCAGTACATGCTTTTTACCAGAGACTGATTTTTCATTGAAGCGTTCAATAGTTACTGTTGTTAACTTTTAATGAATGAAAATTTAAAGGAATTAACAATTGTAAATTAAATATTCTCATAAAAGGCCTTTCAGACAGTTGAGACCAAATGAACAATGTATTTAAACTTTACATCAACTTATCAAACTCCGCTGACACTATCAAAATTGGTAATTTCCAAATTTTAAACATTTTACATGAAAAAGGACACTATCATTTGAGTGTTAGATTGAATTCTAGAGGTAAACTTTGAAGACTATTTGTAGACAATTTTTTAGGATTGACACATCTTGTATATTCAGGCTGTCTTACTTGTCTCACTACTGCAGATAGCAGTTGCTCCTGTAGACCATCAAATGTGACAGTGAAGTTGATGATGGTCACCTGAATACAGACAGCAGGCAGGTAGTGTGGATTCCCCATAGAATTGGTCATATACAGTCTGAAAAATAGAGTCAGCTTTTATTAATATAAAATGTTTACTCAATATATTTGCACTTTAAAGTTGTCAAGTAGGGTATTATTAAACAATGATCATAATGTATTTACCATTTAAACATCATAATTTCAAAAAACATCAACTTACTTGAAATTATGATTGAATTCTATCTCTGTATCGCCTAATTTGATGATGTCACCTCCACCACGTTGGAATGTCTGCATCTCAAGGATGGGAGTTAGTGACGGGTCTAGGTGCTCAGTAACATCCTGAAATAACATTATAACTTCTATTATTGTTTCAATTAAAACATGGTGCATACAGTTAACTGGAATTTGTAAACTTTGTAATTTGCAAAAATATATTATTCTTTTCGAAAAATGGTTTCCTGTGAAACTGTAACTGTGAACTGTATACAATGATTTACAGAGTTAGCTTGTATTGTTAGATCTCAATTGATTTTATGAAGCGTTCACCTCTAGATACCCTTAGAGTCATAGCCCATAGATGAAGCTCTTATAAACAAGAGAAATCAAACTTTTAGAAATGGTACCTCCAGGATAGCCATCTCCATACTCTGCATGAGTCTGAGCCATGGCGCACCTTTATATATTTATTTTACATATACTAAGGGCTAAATGGCTGCTAGGAACTAAAGAACTCACCTCAAGGAGTACAGGCTCTCCTACCCTGATAGCCCTCTCCATTGTCTGCATATACTTGGGATCTGAGGCCTGGAGCACCTTCAGCTTAGAACCTTCCATCTCTTTAATCCACCTAACATAAAACACTCGATTATTTTATGTAGTTATTCAATACATGAGTATGAGATGTCATAGTGACAATTAAGTTAGTTCAGTTAGATATTGGTCAAAGACATAACAATTTTAGAACCTATTTAGTAATTAATTTTATGGAAAATATCAACTAGTACAGTATATGTCACATTTAGGTAATATGTATATTATGGTTGGTCTGCAAACCAGACCATGATGTCACCAAAAAGAATCTACAATTGACATGAATAAAACAACTAGAAAGCAGCAACTCCATGGAGTAGCAAATCCCAACGAACAAATTTCCATTAATCTGTATATGTCTGATATTATATGTACCATTTACTCTAACCTTGATTTGCAGATAATAAGACAGACATATAATTAACTATAGCCATATTTTGAAAGGATTGGGAATTTTTTGCGAAATCCAACACTTGGCAGCCATTTGGAATTTTCTGAGGCATGAATCAGAAAAACAATACAGTAATTGTGATCTACTCTAAATTTCCTTCAATTTGAGTATAATATAGCCATACTTTGAATAGATCAGGAAATTATTGCGTAATCACCCATTAGGCAGTCATATTGAATTTTATCGGGGGTCAGGGTGAAAAACATGGAAATTATGCAAAATAGATAGATGTTGGGAATAAACTACCAAAATTTCAAACAAAAATATTTATAACTTTGGTTTAAAATGAAAAACATAAGATTCTAGGGAAAACTTTTCACCATTTGTAAAGCGGGGGCCATCTTGAAAAAATTATTTTTGCGTAAAACTATTTACCAATTTACATCTTTCAACCAAATATAAAGAAAATCTGTCCACTAGTATTTGAGTTATCTTCTGGCTGGACATGCAGACGGATGGACTGACGGATGGAGGGCTTCACTATATCCCTACCGAACTTCGTTCATTGGGATAATCACTGGTTATATTATACATTATCTCTCTTACTTCTTAGCCTGTCCCTGGGGATCTATTAACAGTGGATAACGTCTTGCACGCTTCACAATTATTGCATTCTCTGTAGAGTGGCCATCTTGGGGAAGCCCTTCAGTCTGCCACTTCAGAACCTACACATAGAAAGATGATCGGAGTATAATAAAGGCTGGGTCAAAATATCATTTTTATGCAAAACTTATCTAACACAGGCTTAGACCCCATTCCCTGTTTGATAAACCCCATCAAACATTGAAACTGCACTAATATCAACTCTTCAGTTTCCGAATGTTTTCAATGTGCTCAAAACTTGATTTTCTACCCCCTCGGACCAAAAGCTAATTAGTAAAAAAGTCCTCGAGGCTTGGTTGATGGTAAAGTGTGTAAATCAGTGTTAAATTAGCATCACATTTATTATTCATTCCACTCCACATTTTCCCTTATGTACAGATACATTACGATCAACGTGAAAAATTCCCACATTTTAATAAAGACATATAAGCAAGTTGATGTCAAAAACTCTAAGAATTAATCTAATAAAAAGTGTTAGTGATTTGAGAAAATCAAATCTTGAAATTGAACATACCTGGTTAGGGCTGACCATATGTTTAATATAATCATATTCCTTGCTGATTGGTATCTGTTTCTCCCTACAAAGTGTCACCCAACTTTCCATCATCTCTTTTCTGTAAGCTGCAGTAAATGCACCAAGGTATGCCACAGTCCCTGATGATACCAGAGTATCCCCTACCAGGCCTTGGAGTTTGAAGTCTAGATCATCTACCGACTCAGCCCATCGAACCTAAAGTAAATAGTTCTATATGTATGTATGTATAGCTTTATTGCCCTAAATTAATTAGGAGATACATATTATTTATAAGTATTTATGTAAGCATTGTACATAATGTGTCATACATAGCATATACAGCAATAAATAACCCTAACCTTGTCCCAGCCCCTAATGATACCAGTCTATTCCCTACTAGGTATTGTAGCTTGTAATAAAGATCATCTACTGACTTGGCACTTTATAAGTTTTAGATATACAAATTATATAATGATGAATAATATCAATAATAAATATACAAATAAAACATAATTATTTATAATGAAACAGCCTTATGCAAACCAATCATCCACCAAACAATATCAATTTCATATAGAATTTAATGTGACTGTTACACACATGAGACGTCTCCATACCTTCTCATCTGACAAAGCAGTGATAAGCACTGACGCCCTCTCAAGGCGCATGCCTGTCAATTTCTTGCGCTCTTTCAAGGACTCTCTCTGGTTGACACTGTCCTGGTACTGCTGCTGAAGTAACTGTAGATGTTCCGTAATCTTAGCCAGGCTGGCTTGTTTCTGAGCCAAGTTGTCTTGGGCAAGTTTCAGAGCATCTCTGGCCTCTTCCACTCTTTTTTGTTTTGGCTTAGCCATCTACAATTAAGATTATTATTTGATTATTTGATTTTAAATGAGATCAAAACCACTGCATAAACCAAAGACTGCCAAAAGGGACAAAGATGCAACAGGATGTCATACCTTGTAGACCTCATGGTAATGCTCCAAGGCTAACACCCACTGACACATGGACCTGCATGCCACAGACACTGTCCCAACCTTCTCTGGACTGAAGTCTTCATTCTTAGTGAACTTCTTTAGCTTGAAGAATACCTGAAAAGTATGTATTTCACAAAATTCAGTTTTGATAAAATTATGAGGTTTTATGAAGGTGTGTTTTAAGGGAAGAAATATCACAGTTTCATTATCTTTTGGGGTTAAATTATGGAGAATATATTCAATTCATGAAATAGCAATTGTACAGTGTACGTTATTTCAGAACCAAATTAAGTAAAAAAAATATCAATTTTCAACTTGTCCTCGGATAATTACCTTTTCTGGTACAGAATTCTTATCAAAGTTGATGAGTTTTTTGAGAAATCCCTGATCTCCAAGTACTTGTTTAGCAGTGCCCCAGTCTGTTTTCTGCTGTAGTAGAGTGCATACAGCTGACATCACACTTATTACCAATATAGGTGGGTTCTGGTACACCCTGTAAATACAAAAATGATCACATTATCTTCTGGTACACCCTATAAATACAACCATTGTCCTATTATATTAAAGTACACACTCTAAATACAAGCATTATCCAAAAACCTACAAATTACTGATTAGATCAGGGATGGGAAAACAAGGCATTAACAAGAAGACAAAATGTCACCACTTGTTTGGATTTACAAAAGTGTAACAATTTTTACAGATACTGCAGGTCCATAGCCAGCTTTTGCCAAGGGGGTTCCCTTTTCAAAAAATTCCAGAAGGGGTTCACATTATACAACTTTGGCCCAAAATCACTCGAAAAGTGTGCATAATGGTAAAACTGCATGGTTTTGAAAGAATTTTTGGCCAGGGAGGGGGAGTCGCTCGAACTTCTTGTACAGCCCCTGGCTAAGGGCCTTTATGAACACCAAAAGCAGGTCTTACCTTATCTCAGAGATATCAGCCTTGTCAAGGGAATCTAAGGATTCTATGGCCATCTGTACAGCAGGAAGTACACTGGCAAGATCACGCTGACACTCCTGGAAAACAATATTAAATAACACTTTTGGAAGATTTCATGTTTCATTTTTCCAGTATATACGAATATATATCATCAAGCAGATATCAAATAGAGATCTTAAAATTAATGTGAAATTAATCATGGAGCATGTGTTCTAATGAAGGATTCTTTAGATATAAACAGCATTATTAAACTGATAATTCTACATAACTCAATCTTTCATATTTGGATAGGGGAACAAAATCAGAGTAGAAAGATCATGCCAATTTGATATTTTCTCATAAAATTTATAAGTCATAGATTATAAAGTACATGCTTTCATTTAGCGGTTAACCTTCATTATTTAGACTTTTCAGAACAATGTGTAATCGCGTATTTCCATTTAAATGTACTTACATCAGCGTAATCTTGTACAATCTCAGTTTCTTTCTTCATGACACTTTCTTCCTGCTCCACTATATCTCTGACCTGGTCAACAGCTTCTTGGTCTTTGGACAGTTGTTTTAGTAGAACTTCAGTGTCCTATTGATATATATATATATATAAACCTCATACAGATTACAATGGTACAAATCTAGGTTAACAGAGCAACATAAACTGCATCCTCTACATATAAATTAAACATGTGTGTTCATATGTACACAAAGATGTAGAACAGAAATCCTGCTATTAAAACCATATAAGATTACTGTATATGAGTATCATTTACATAATATAAATTGCAGCTTATAATGCAATCCATATAAGAATTTCTAGCAGTTTTTACCAGTTCTGAAAGACAATTTTTTAAGCTAAATTAATCATTTTCCCTTCCTACCTTTGCTTTCTCTTCTATCTTGGGTCCAAGGTTGACAAGTTCTTCCTGCATTGTGCCCACAAGGGAGTTGGCCTCAGACAGCTTAGAGAGCCCAACTAGCAACCGATGCCTGGAGAATGGATACAACAATATAGGTGGTAAGTTAAATATCCAACCATAGATTCACCTAAAGTGTATAATTTAAATAACCAATACCTTTTCAATACAATTTTCAGGTGAAATATGCCAACAATTTCCTATTCATATCACAGACTTACAGAATGTCCATGATCATATCAAAATGCAAAGTATGTAATTCATTGAATGTTGAAATTAATCGAATAAAAAAACAACATGGCACCAACATGCAAAATGTCACCACCTGTCATTTGTTACAGACATTGACTGCCGGACCCCAAACGCTGAACACTGTCCACAAAAAAAGTTGGAAACTATAATAATATTTCAACACTGTTGGTAGTGACATAAAAACAGAAAACTACTCAGTGAATATTGTTGCCTATTTCAAGACTGACCTATTATCCATGAGTTCCTTTCTATTATCTCTCAACATGTTGGTGTAGATTTTGATCAGCTCCATATAGCTGCTAGGTGTGGTGTAGTAACGGCGTCTCATCTCCTCCCAGAACCTAGTAGCTGTTTCACCAATGCTATTATGTATATCAACACAAACTTTTGCAACATCTATCTTCACTTGCTGCAATATAAGTAAACATTCAATATGTAAGTGTTTTTTTATATAGATGCAGACTTGTAGTATTGACACCTCATCTTCTCCCAGAACCTAGTAGCTGTTTCACCAATGCTATTATGTATATCAACACACACTTTTGCAACATCTATCTTCACTTGCTGCAATATAAGTAAACATTCAATACGTAAGATGTGTTGTAGCAGTGATGCCTCATCTTCTGTTGATACCAATACAATGTGCATTTTTCCACAAACATTTGCAACATTTATTTCAACTTGAATAATATGAGCAATGAGCAACTCTACAGATAAATCATTCTTACTTTGAAAAATTCTATTTACATGTATATAGCATATTTCACATCCTTAATCAAATTATATCATATATTATACCATTTCATACGATATCATATCTTACAATCAGTACAACTTACAGTGACATCATGTTCTCTTGAAGTCTGAAACTCCACATTCTCAAAGTAGACCTTGGCGACTGAGAGCATGGCCTCCTCTGACCACTCATCATACCAGTCTATAGTACAGCAACTGATCAAGGCGGGGTTCATGCGGCAACGTTGACGGAACTTACTTCCTGCAGGGCTCATGGTCAGAACCACGTGCAGATTATTGCGCACCCTCTACAATATAAGAAAACATTTTTGTCACAATAATCTGCAACTTTTCAATATAGATCAGAGTAAAACAATACATGTATTTAAAAACAATCATGTTGTGTTTGCACTTATATTTTTGTTACTAAAATATTGCATATACAGTTCAATGTGAATAAAAAGTACTGAAAACAAATACCGTATATTTTAAAAAGATAACAATCATGTCTATGATCATCTCAAAAATCGTAAGAAAAGCATCACTTTTTTATCGCACCATACCTGTATAAAGAATTGATGCACAGCTACCCTGGTGTCTGGTACCTCAGCCTGTGTCGCTGCAGGACGTAGCTCCATTGCTATTCCATCCATTTCCTCATTATCAAACAAGTCAGGGACATCACCAGAGTTTAGAATACAGTTGATGTCTTCGAGAAATGCCTCCTACAATTAGCAATGATTTAAGTGAATACTTCAAATGATATTCTAGATATTGTTTTCCAAAGGGCAGAATTTCAAGCCTGCCAAGCCGATGACAAGACTGCTTAAAATTCGTTAGTTACCGTTTTGATATATTCTCTAAACTAGGAATTGACATTATTTAACAAGGAAAGGAAGTAACATCCAAGCTCATTTAATATGGACTCTGATCGGGAATTAACCTATGTAAAAACCAGAATTCATGATTCATGATACCTGTACAATATCCCCATCATTGAGCAAGAACACTGTGTTTAATCCCTTAACCCCTGCCAGTCTGTAAATGCTCTTGAGGTCATCATGGAAGTCTTGCATGTTGTAGCCTCTGGATAGGGTCAGCTTGAACAATTCACAGTCAGCTATTGTACATGCTAGCTGCACAGCTGTTCTCTTGCCAGTTCCATCAAGACCAACCTAAAAATGATTTTGAGTTAGGGACAGGGCTTGTCATGTCATAAGAATTTTAGGTATATCCTGGCTGAGAATAACATACCTCAGATCCTAGTCAAATCATGGCTGGTCAGTGTGTGATTTTGTCTTTCCAAAAATTTCATTAATATATCCCAATGATATTATGCCCTTACATTATATCACTACTTTGTATACTATATTACTACTGTATTATCAGTAGCTCAGAGTAGGGAGTCAGAGCATAGATAGTACAAGCATACCAATAACATGTGACCTCCAGGTTGCCTAAACACCCTAGCTGCCCTAGTAATGTGGTCCACAGCATCTCTGAAGTAAACCACCCTTGATGACTGAAAATATAGAAATAATACTGTGTATAAATAATATTTATTTTGCATAAAGTAACAAAAAGTTTCCAGTATTCAATTATCTTACCACAAGCACCGTGCCTCATGCCTGATTTGAATTTGAAGATTATATCAGTGAATGAGGCAAATAGAATGATAACCCACCTGCGAGCCAGTCATATCTTTTCTGATCTGGTACTCCTCCAATATGGTAGCCAGTTTGTCCATGTCTCCTATGGGTTTATAGATCCTATCCTCCTCTGCCTCAGCCATATCAATAAAGTCACCAAATATAACACGGTCCTCCATCATTTGCTCAGGGGTCCACTTCACCTACAATGTTTCATGCCAATATTTCATTCCTAGTAGGTGTAGCACAATTTAAAAATGTTTAAAGACCTCTTTTACCATTTATCTATAAATGATGTTGAAATAAGAGGGAGACTTATGACTTCAAAATGGTTTAAATTTTATCACTCCAGTTCAAACATCAAAAAAGTTAAAACTATATCTAGTAATCTTTATGTTCTGATCAATTTGTGGATGGAGCTAAATTTAGAATTTTTCCAGATCATAATTCTTGATACAGTAGGAACATGTGGTATTTTGGATCTGTGTGGGTTTCTATTGAATACATGTCTAGACTATACATGTGTATTCAATAGCTACGACCCTTTCTCTACTCTTCGTCAACCTCTATTAGTATATGATATACAATGACAGATCCTATGTAATAAAAAATGTGCCCTTAAATGATATCTATCATGTTAGGCAGATTTTGTATCTTAGACATTCAATTATCTCATGTTTGCCTCTAATGCAGACATAAAAAATTGATTCTGATTGAATCAGATATATGCTAACTACAATAAATACTTTTAATAACCTATTCAAAAGAATGTGTATGTGCTTTACAAAACCTACATGTGCAGAACACATATAAAATCCAAAAAAGTTGAAGTTGTTCACAATCTCACTGAAAAACATATTTCTCACTAGCCTACCTGAGGAAGTCAATGGTTTTTGGCAGTGAAATTCTGAACATTTTCATATTGCATATTACATATTGCATTATATACTATAAGCTGCACTGTTCACATCAGAGTTTGCACGTAGGTAGTCATGTAGTTGTAGTTAAGGCAGTTGTGTATAGGTAATATGAGGCCCATGATAGGAGCAATGAATTGGTTCAGCTTAAAGCCATAGAAATCATGTGATATCATACTTTTGGAAAACATTTTGTTTGATTAAGAAAAATATAAACGTAAAGAGCACTGAGACATTTTAAAATACACTTTATTTATGATTAATTTTCAAGTTGATGGGTGTATAATTAACTACCTTTATTGCAATTGCATATGAAATCTGAAACAACTCATACGAAATATGGACTGACTGGCAAATACAAAACAATATACTACATGTAACTAGTATTCAACAATTCAACTATTCATATAAATATAACGCACAAAAATTTTCAACAGCCATTATCTTATATGGTATAATATTGCCAGTTAGTTGTGATGATAGAATAATGGAGAAACCATCTTGCAATGTTGGTCATTTTAGAAAGCAATAAGCTACAAATATTTCAGCGATATCTTCAAACAATCACTGTGTGAAACTGCTAATGTACTAAATTCTCTACATATTCATAGACTGTCTAACTCAAAATGTGATTTTCACACTTCTTGCTTAAAGTGGCACCAAAGGATAAAGATTATAAAATGTTGGAGCCACCCAATGTGTCTTTAAAATCAAAGATTTAAAACATGAGAACAAGAATTAAAACATGAAAACAAGATTTCACTTATGTAATGAAATCATGAAAGCAATTGTAATTTTTTAATTGTAATTTTAAGAAGCAAAAATTTCAAAATTCCCTTTTATGAAAAAATATCAAAAGTGAACATGTCTATATCCTTTGTTTCCCCTTTAATAATCCTCTTACCACCCACCTTCTAAACAAGAAAAATAAATGTTGAATTTAATTCAAAATATATGAGATGTTGCCTCACAATTATTAGTGAAGTTGAACATAACAGGTTTATTAGTAGCCACCTACCTCTCCTATACGACTCTAGAATATTCAATTATGCAATTAACATGTACAATTATAAAATTTTGAAAAAAAACAGCTTTGATATTTTAACTTGATTGACACTTTGAATACCATGAATGCATTTAAGAGATATCCTTCAAAATTTCTATATTTTTATACCTTTAAACACTTTGTTTGATTAACACATACCGTATAATTTTTAAATGTATTATTTAAACAGCAGTCAATAACATCGTAAAATAAATTGCCACTTAATAAATATAGCACTATAGGCTTAAAAATATGAAGCGTAAGAGCTGTAAGTAACTCCAAGACACACGTTATTAGAAAATGCAGGTACAAATCCAGTAATAAAAAGGTCCACTGTTAAAGGAGCATATATACAGATGAAGATGACACAGAAACATAATTGCTGAGGCATAAAAAGTAGCATACATAAAATAATAATTGAACCTACTTTGAAATAATCATGAGAAACATCTGAGAGAAACTGGTAAAATATTCGTCTGTCCTCAGCACTGACGAGTCTATCATGGAAGACTCTGGTTGCCTCGTGACAATACAACTGTGCTACAGTCTCCCTGCCTACAATCACCTCCTCATGTGCCTGCAGCATGCCTTGGATTACCTGCAATCAACAGAGGAAGAGTGATAAAGGGAGAGTAAAATCTATACGTATATCAATCTGGAAAATATATAAAGAATTTGTGTGAACCACACTAGTACTTAAGTTTTGAAAAGATTGTGGAATGTCAATATCTTTAGGAGTATCAAAGTACAATTTACACATTAGGCAGACTGATTGAGTTCTGAATGAATATAGAATATATTTGTAGATTCACCAATTCCTAAACTGAGTATTGTTGAATATTGTTACCATGGAAGTGCTTTTTACTAATAAGCTTTAAGTATCTTTACCTTTGAACAGTCTCTTATATTGAATGTATAATGTGATTTTGCTGGGGTTGGTCTCATGGCGTTACACATGCGGTAATAGATGGCAATACTGGCTGACACAACACTAAACAGTGCCTCTTTTACATCTGGCATAAAGTCTCCATCAGCAAAGTATCTTCCTAACTGGACCTGATATATATGCTGTAGAGATCTTGTTGATGGTTGGGGTAAGGACAATATGCTGGAAAAGCAGAACACAAATATCAAAACTACATAAAATGGGCTTATAGACCAGCAATTATTTTCAAGCTGAAATATAATAGAGCTAATATTGTAGATAAATATTCAGAATTCTCAACAGAGAATTTAACTAAATCTCTTCATATGAAATGTAAATGATGAGCATATACATGCTTTTCTGAACACAGATAAGGTATAAGACTCTTTTTAGAAAGAAACTTACCAGAAATGCTTCAACAATCGAGGACTGAGAACATTGCGTCCACCACCAGGGGGACCACATGCAGCTATGGGAGTCACATCAAGTACCTCCTTCCAGGAGAGTTTTGTTGTGTCATAGAATCCACCAAGGTCAAGGAACTGGCGCAGGAGCTCCAAGGGAGGTTGTGCCCCATACTGCTCTGGTGCTGGCATGTTCATGTCATCCAGAAATATCAGCACCTAAAATATAAATTCAAAATATTTTATCTGTTAGTTGGCACAAACATGTCTCTAAAATAGAAACCCTGATATGTGAACACTTTTTAACCCATTTTCTATGACTGATCGGGTCCAATATTGTCAGAACAGCTGCCAATATGAACACTTTGAAAACTGTTTATGTTTTAATATAGTTTTGTAAACCAAAATAAAGTTTTTGAAATCATTTCCTTCAATGAACAAACAAATCATCTATACTGTATCATATATACCTTTTTGCCCTTGGGTGCACCCAGGACATCTTTCCCCTTCTTGATGAGTTTAAGGGTCAGTTGTAGTTGAAGTCTGATGGCAGCTGTCTGTGCACTGAACTGTAACATTGTGCTCACAATGCCTGTCTGGTGCTTTGTCTTTGCAGCACCCATCAACAAGTCAATATTACTAGCATCTGTAATAAATTAAAAGATATATACATATGGTGTGTTATAGTCGGTTTTCACCATTTGACAAGAAAATTGAAACTTACTTGGAGTGCAAAATCAAGCAATTGTACCAGTTTCATCTATGATAAAAAAATTGAAGTTTCACTGAAACTATGGCTGAACTTAAATAATATGAAAGTAGCTGCCCTTATTCTCGTCTATCTAAATTCAAAAATGTACACATTTTGAACTAGATTCTGAGAAATCGGTTCACTATTGAGGAAAAGGTATCAACCTACCGTCATCATCAGCCTGTGCAAACTTAGCAAGGGAGCTGATATTCTCCATGATGGCCTTGTTCTTGTCCATGTAGTTCAGCACATTGCCTAGTATTGTTCCCTGTTTCAGGGATGTCCCATTCTCTTTGCAAAGCTTACTCAGTAGACTTGTGATAATAGATGATTTACCAACACCAGAGTCACCTATATGAAGAAAACACATTCATTATCTGAGGTCTAATGAACATCCACTTTATCTGAGGAAACTTCAATAAAAGTTTAGATTTGCTAACTAGTTATTGATCTATTTTGGGATAAGCATCTTAGTAATATTCAAATCATACAGAGCAAAACACATTATATATAAAGGTGAAACTTAGCTAGAATTTTCTTAACATTGGTACTAAATCACATCATTTGATATTCTGTAATTCAAATAACCTTTGTTTCTTACCTGTCAACAGTACAGGATTCTTGTTCAGTGCCAACAGCCCCATTATGAACGAATACCTCACATTATCCACTGTTGCAACTATATCAGCATCAGCTGATGCTGACCTCTTTTGGGGGCCCCCAGAACTAACCCCCATGGCATCTCCAATGGTGATGGTGGCCCCCTTATCTATAAGGGACTGTGTAGTAGGGACCAAGTTGTCCCAAGCTATGAAGTTTCCAGAGTCCATGTCAACAAAGAAGCTGTAGATGGTTCGGCTGCTGGCAGGTAAGCGCACACCTGTAATTAAATATTGAAGTTAAAAATATGTAGTGAGTTTGTCCTGTTTTTGTATAATATTTTTCAGGTAGGCCTATATGAGGATTTCGATGACTGGTTTTCTGCGGACAAACATACTTGAGTATTAGTCTTTTCTTATATTCTCTTATTACATTTCCCCTGTGTGTCTGGTCATAACTCAAACATAACAAAACATTGTAGAAATTGAATTGAAAGATGAGAATATAAAATAAAACATATCAATATATAAATTAACTGATAAACAGATTGCCCCAGTAGTGACTACAGCTCAACAATGTTTAACTTAAAATCATGATCAAAGACAAAATACTTAACTATTTTATTGTCTGCAAAATATGTTATATTGATTTTTATATTGTTTCATTGTATGTGTATCTAAGTCTCAATGATTCCTTACTTTGTAAATTGCGCGTGTATTTTTAATTGTCATGCAATAGAAATAAGTATTTAATTATTTTACAACCAGCCATACATCCTTGATTCAACCTTATATACAGGGTGGGCCAAAAAAACCCACCCCCCTAGCCGTTACTCCTGATAAATATTTATTTTCTAACATGTACACCAACAATGATATATCATTTTAAGGATAATTTAATTTGCAACAAAATGATATTTAATAGAACAATTTTCAACAACCCTGGCTCGAGATATAACCATTTATGTGACATGGGGGTGAAAAAACACCTTTTCAATTTTCATTGATTTTGCGAATAATAGCCTATTTCTCCCAAAAGGATGTGTCCGGGTATATGCCCTTTTGGTCCCTCAGTCAAATGTATGTTAAATATGTTTTTTATTACTGTCCTAGTTATATTTGATAAGTATATTTACTTTTTCACTAGTTTTGATGCATAATTAACCCCCTGCTGAGAGTCAGAATAAGTATCTTAACAAAAAGAAAATAGTCATTATCATAGAAAAAAAACATCAATGGCAACATATATGACTTGGAAAGAAGAAATAACTAAGACCCATGAAGAATTTAAAAGAAAATCATATTTTTGAAATATATTTAAGGATTAAATTTTTTTTCAATTTTTTGAATTTCCCGCCAGTTTAATTTGAAGGGGGAAAAACAAGATGGCTGCCATTTGATGTAAGAAATATCAGAAAAAAAGTTGCTTCACTTTTAGTTTTCACAATGAGCACAGTTTTACGGTTTAGGTTTTTTGACTGATTCTGACTCTTCATCACCAGGGTCATGTATAGAGATTATAAAATTGAAACCGGAATGTTGTGCTCAGCATGAATTTGACTGAAATATGTGTAACCTCACCAACACAATTGAAGTCTCAAAACTGGATGCTCAGTAACTTTGAGTGACTATAATCCCTTGATTACCCAGATAAACACCAATTCACTTATCCAGAAATGCCATTCAATGTCTATACAAAGAAAGTAAGCAATGTTTTGGAGGATATGTTTCAAACCTTTTGTATAAATAATTCATTTAATATTTGCCATTGATTTTTTTTTCAATTCTGACAAAGTGATATGCACTGTCTTTGATGCCAATATTCTTCATTAATTGTGATACAAATTGATATTTTTGTACTCTCAGAAGAAGGATAAGATATTGAAGTTTAATAATATGTGTGATTGAGTTGCTTTTTCAGACATTACAATTTTCAATATTTTCTAAGTCGATACCCAGACTCATTCCCAGACTCATCCTTTACTGTTCAGTTAAAAATTGCAACATTGTCATCAGTCTTTCATTATTGGCTATTATATATTGTTTTCATTCAGGTTTTGAACCATTCATGCTCAATAAACATGTGTATGCTTATAAAACAAATTAATTTCTTCTTAAATCTGTCCAAATATGGCTCAATAGACCCACCCCCCGGACCAATCCTCTGATTGGATTATTCGCTAAAGAACCGAAAGCCATTCGTATAATTGATGGATCCCTGTGGAAGTACCATCGAACTCGTAATTATTCATTCTTTCAGTTTGTCTACATCCCTGATAGGCTAGTGATCTTCATAGACCAACTGTTCTAAATGCCCCAAGTACTATACATGTAATCAACAGGATAGACTCTATATATCAGTAAGCAAGAATAGGGACATTTGCGATAAAAGGCTACTCAAATCGAGATGACATTTTTCTGAAAGGGTAGTGGTGTCCACTCGATGTTTCCCAAAAAGGAAAGACCGTATAGTCCCTGTTTTTGTTGAACCAGGAGCAAAAATATACTCTGAATGTTAATGACATGAGGTGTTAAAAAGGACTCCTCAAGGATATAAAAAACATGTGATAGAAATTTAATTTCTGATAGGAAAGTGCTTCATCACACAGGTTCAATGCTACCCTGGAGTTTTTGGAGACTCAAAATGAAACCATCTCTAGCCCGGACAAATGGCTTACTGGCAGTCCAGATGCCAATAATGTTGATTACCACACCTGGGGGTATCTAGAACAGTTGGTATTTAAAGATGCCTATCAGGGATGTAGAGGAACTAAAAGAAAGAATAACTAGTAGTTGAATGGTACTTCCGCATACATCCATCAATTATGCCATCAACCAATGGCTTCCGCGTCTTAAGCGAATAATCTGATCAGAGGATGGGTCCGGGGGGTGGGTCTATTGGGCCATATTTGAACAGACTGAAGAAGAAATTAATTTGTTTTATAAGCATACACATGTTTATTGAGCATGCATGGTTCAAAAACTGAATGAAAACAATATATAATATACAATTATGAAAGACTCATGACAATGTTGCAATTTTTAACTGACCAGTAAAATTTGGTAGAAATAGGCTTTTGTTCGCAAAATTGATGAAAATTGAAAAGGTGTTTTTTGACCCCTATGTCACATAATTGGTTATATTTCGATATGGGGTGGTTGAAAATAGTGCTATTATATATCATTTTGTTGCAAATTAAATTATCTTTAAAATGATATATCATTGTTGGTGTACATGTTAAAAAATAAATATTTATCAGGAGTAATGGCTAGGGGGGTGGTTTTTTTTGGCCCACCCTGTATATATATAATTAAAGTAAGTACGAAAGTATAAACACATGTAGCCACCACCAAACATATTGTAAACCAACCACCATCATTTTATAGTTTTCTATTTAAAACAGGCAATTTCATTTATGCTTATTATTTTACCAAAACATTAAATGCCAAAAGTAGACCAAAAGAGATTGCAAACTATTACTAAGCTGTATTTATTGTATTTCAGAGTTAAGCAACATTCAAAATGATCTAAACTAAAGGCAAATGACATGTACTCCAGCAGCTCAAAACTTATTGAAAAAAGTCCATGTTTAGTTTATTTCAGGTTTGTACAATAACAAACCCATCAGAATGTACATTAACTTTAATCAATAACAAGTACCCATTCTGGTTTTCCAGACCCCTCTTATCTGTCGTTTCCTCTTTGGAAAGATCAAGACAAAGGGAGTGCGGTTTTCACAATGACAAGTACCTAAATACTAAAGAAAACAAAATTACAAAAATGAACTTCTGACATCTTTGGATTCCTCCAGATATTCATGAAAAAAAAATGGAAAAGAGAAGTTGCACAAAATGCTGACAGACTATATAAAGCTGATATTGTAAGCTTTTAAAATGAAAAACACATATGTTCTAGAATTCAGTATTCAGAAGTGAATGTTACATTTTCCATTGTACATGTTACAGATATTGTAAGTCAATTGCATGAAGGCAATTTTTGCTATAGCATTTGACCTGACTAAAAGTTTTACACTACTGCATCAAAATTGGCTAGAGGGCAGGCAGAGTGGCATGAATTTGGGATCTGACAATATTGAAGCAGATGTTTACACTTGAAAAGTGTACACTTATTCCAAACTGAAATTTTTTCAACCAAAATGTTAGGTACCAGCATCCAGATTATCTGAACCATTTAAATATTGAATCAATCCCGGCTACTTCGGGTTTATTTATTTTTAATGTCAAAGTTAATAACCATTCAAATTATTCTCATTCCACTTGGCCTATCATAACCATATTACATACAGACATATCTACATAGCTGTCAGAGTTAATCTACTAAATATAGAAGATGATAGATACAAAAATGGAAAAGAAGATCTTTAAGGAGAGACAGATACAGGCATTAAGGTAACAAACATACAAATGCATATAAATACATAAATAGCTGTATAATATCATGCAATATTATATTGAACAGATCTTACCAATTGGCGATTTAACATCAAATATATATCGCACCAATGTATCAAATCTGCTGCCGATATCAAAGTCATCTTCTAGTGTGGAAGTTAAAGGGTTAACATTTTTAAATCACACAAGCTAAGGCTCATACAAGTTAATGATCTGTTTAGCAAAAGTGTTTTTCAGCAACCAGGATTTTTATCTAATTTTGTTCTAAAATCACAAAATAGATGCCTGACTTTTTCAAAATTTGTTGGTATATCACTAATTGATGACCAGTACGATTTTTAGAAGGAAAACTAAATATTGCTAAACAGATAATTAATTTGTAGTGCCTTAATAGTTGTAACTTTAACTTCATAATATTTCTGGGTTTATAAGGAACTACATGTGTAATCTACGAAGAAAATTGTGAACTAAAAGCAGACTACAAATTGTAAAATGTGCTAAAATTATATTAAGTTAAAAAAATGATAAAATTAAAATACACTTTCTTACTATATAAAAAAGAATACAACATTTAATCATTATAAAAGTTGTTAGTCTATTAAAGCAAGCAATTATATATTAAATCAAACAAAATAATACACAACATTAAAATTAAATAATTAAAAAACTGCAAATATTTATTGTTATCAAATAGTGAAATAGACTAAAAATGTTAATTCTTATTTAGAATGCAATAATTGGTTTCAGGTAAAGCTTTGAATAAGAAAAACAACATGTTACAACATGGAACTTGTTTCAAATGAAAAATTCCTTATTGGTTTCACAAACCAAAACCAGGTCCCAAATCTAAAAAAATGTACTTCACAGGGTGACATTTTTACCATGAATGGTGAATCTAAACAATAAAACAAACAAGCATGTGTGCATCTATATCATATAAATCTAAGAGATTTTACCTAGTGGAGGTTCAATATCAAACATCTCATGTACAAGGTGGTCAAAGTCATTGGTGATGTTCATCTGGGGTTCCTTGTTGGTACGTTGCCGTATAGATGTATCTTCATCATACTCATCTTCGTGCTGTTGTCACAGCAATAAAGAAACAATTGTATTAAATATGAACTTTGTAAGGTTGCTCTATTATAAATAATTGTATTCATATAATTGCTGATGTCATGATAGCAGACAAAGAATGTTATTCAACTTATAGAACAATATTATAATACACGTAGCCAGGTTTTGCCAAGGAGGTTTAACTTTTTAAAGGGTTCCGATTACCATCCCGTATAAAAATAATATGGCGGCTCCAGGCGAATCAACTGGATCAGTCCATTTTTAAGAAATAAGGGGAGTTCTGTAAAATCCAGTTTATTGAAATTGTCTTTGAGATAAAGTAATCCGTTTATAATGATTTCGAAAACGTTATCCAAAGAGTGATTGCGTTCAAAGAATACATGTACAACAGCCAATATAAATCCTTGTATTAGAAACCGGTTTGTCTTGCTTTGTTTCATTTGTAGGATATTTCATATGCCAAGCTGTGTGCTATTACGTTATGGGGAAATTTAGATGCCAATTTTTCCTTATTGTACACAAATAGAAGATCCTGAACTTCACCCATAAATGTGGAATTGATTTGTCAAAATAAAAATCACCCTTTTATAACGGTGTGACGATCTATAATATACTTATGCTATATAACAGTTAGAGGTGTTGACACAACGACCTCGAACCTGTGAACCCTTGAGTATTATTCCGGGATCGGGCCTTTTATACTAAACGGTGAGCAACACCAGAAACGAGCGTTCGATTTGCTAAACGATATGCGTCACCCTTTAAGGACTTCCATGGGTTTCATATTAGACCACTTTGGCCCAAATTCACTTACAGTGCCCAGAATGGTGAAAATCTGCATAATTTTGGAAGAATTGCCCACACCTCAACTCCCCCTTTTCAGTGTCATAGTATAAGAAATAAATTAGTTAATTGAAATGACATATCAATCTTCTCAAATACCTTAAAGTTGCCTCCAAAGGCCCAGGTGAAGGCAAAGACAAACAGCTTTCCAAGCAGATGGGTCAAAAGAGCTGGATTCTTCTGTAGGTAATAATTCTTGCCTCCTCTGAAAGTTTAACAGATTATCATTAGGTTACTAAATTTGATGTATCCAATACCTACTGAGGTTTAAAGTACATAATCTGCAGGAATATATTAAGTGAACCTCGCAAAATGGATATTTCTGCATCTATCCTGCTATCATCGCGAGTTTGGGACAACATACACAGACCATCCTGGGCAAACTCCATAAAGTTAAAAAATGGAATTTTTATATTACTATTTTAATCATATTCTAACCATACATGTATGTACACTTGATTGAATATTTCCATTAATTGAACTCAAGTTCTGTTATTTGGATATTCAGAATTTAGCATTTATCATAATATAATACTAATAATTTACAGAAAGTGATTTTATATTTCAATTTATGGAAATAGAAAACTTATTCTCTGATTGAGTAATTTTCCCCCTAGAAAATATTTTGGGAAATAAGATTTATTTTGCTTCTTAGCATAAAACACTAAAACATGTAAATGCAACATTAATCTATTTTATACTTTATTCTATGCTATATAATTACCGCATCAGTGCTAATGTTGCCAGCAATTTTGGCAATTTCTTGATTCTTGAAAAAAAAGTAATTGAATATTTAAGAATATGATAATATGTACTGTATATATTTGCCAATAATTTGATAAAAGTATCAAAAATGAATTAAAATGAATTACCAGAGACAACTTTGAATTTTAACTATTTTCACAATCTCTGTCATATTTAAGAAAGTAGTGGTACAAATTGTATCTCCATTCAAGTGATGAGGGATGGATTACTTTTGTAATCTTATTGAGCATAAACATTCTAGTATTAAAGTTACACTTACTGTGCTTTTAGTTTAGCTTTTTCCGCAGCTGCTTCCATTTCTTCTTTGAGTTTTTGTTCACGCCGAGTTGACTTCCGTGACCTTTTACGCTGCCTTGATGTAGGCGTTTTAGAAGAATTGTGGGTACGGGATGAGCTGCGGGAATTTGAAGTTTGCCCACTTTCAGCACTTCCTGGTCTCTTGTCTGGTTCTGGGTCTATAAATAAAAATATCATCTTAATATCATACATGTTTTTCTAAAAAACTAAAAACAAGGACATCCTCTTATTCTTGGGTATTAACATTTTTTTTAATTTCAGATTTCTCAATTCAGCACCCGAAAAGCAAGATTATATAAATATCCTATAAACCTACCAGGATTGCCAAAGCCTCCATGTTTCCCAAGGAAATCAAAGAAAGCTGACATAATAGAACAGAGCATCATCACCATGCTTTGTTCAGGGGCAGAGATCAGTTGGTATTTCTGGTGATTCTTCACAAAAGCCAGGCCTTTATCTATGCTGTGATCAAACAGGGCTTGGAGGTGTCTCTTGCCACTCTCAGGCATCTCCTTTGGCAGTCTGGATACCCATGTCTTTACATAAGGTCTCCAACCAAGATCTATGGGGTCCTAAGAAAGAGATGAGGAAATGCACATTTAAATAAGTAAAGGAGATATATAAAGTCATTTAGAAAATTCAGGACAGTATAAGATATTGAAAATTCAATTATTTAATATTTTCATTCAGTCATTTTTTCACTATTCACCTTCAATTTGACTCCAAACTTAAAAGTAGATGTAGTCTGATAATAAATCCTACAAGTACAGTTACATTTATTCCTCAAATAACATCTGCCTTTAATATTTGAACTAAAATGAGCAAAAATATAGCAAATTGAGGTCATATGTAAATGACTAACTTACCATGTATACCATGGCACACCTAGATATGGTAGCAGGACTAGCTTGTGAGAGATTATCAACCTCAAACAACATTCTCATACCCCTGGCTAAACCGATACGCTCCCCATTAGCCAAACAGAGTACCTTGGTGTCATCTAGCACTGTATTCAAGTTCTCTACCCAAAGTGTATCAACTGGACCATCAAGAACTATCCTGTTGAAAATAAAAAGTACACGTCTGGATATTTCCACTTTCCAACTACATTATGCATACATTTCATATTCTGTTGCTTGTCAACTAACTTTGTTCAATACATTCAACTCCAAAGTACATTCAAATTCATATGTAGCATTCAAGTAAAGACACACTACAAGTTCATGCTACATGCAAGTACATACCATCTCCAGTTGGTTGGAATAGCATCATTGACCTCCTCTGCTACTTGTATCTCAGATTCCTGGTCATCAGTGGTCCCTACAGGGGTGGCAGGAGGGACAGAACTAAGGGGTCGTTCCTCCTCACTATGTACACTCTGGTAGAATGGAATACAAAACAAGTTGTTGTTAAAATACAACATATGAATTTTGATATCTTAGAGTATATCATTTGAGAGATATGATTTATCTAGCTCAGAATGCTTTGGTGAAAAAAATTCAATAATTTTAAGATGCATTGTATATGTATGTACAACAGAGTAATTGTACTTAAACTAGAATGGGCGTCACAGAAATCATGATACTTTTGTCACAACCTGGACCAAGGGTGCTATGTTGTGATCACATTCATCAATCATATTAATAAATGTATTAACATTCATTTATATCTAAAACAATTGCCAACGTTCAGCAATTTTAAAACATGTAGTAATTGTACAAGTGTATGTTTATTAAACATGAATATCTCACCTCACTAGGTCCACCTAAAGATGATGCTGCCCCAGAACCTTGTGTTGAGGGCCTGTGTCCCCCAGAAGTTGCTGGTCGATAATCATCAACTGAAGCGCCACCTAACTCACGAGAGAATTTGCGAACCGCATTAGCGATCAATCCATCGGACCATTCAAATGTATTGGGGTCGGTTTCACCATAGAGTTCTCCAAGTTTCACACATTTTGGATTGATTGCAAATATGTCTACATGTCCTTTTTTGTTGCGATTATGCTGAAATATCAAATATTGAAGATATTCACATTGTAAATTCACACAGTTCTTCGACCAAACAATCACAATGTTTCCCAACACAGATCATCTTCAAAATTAATTTCAAGATTTTTGGAGCACAATATTTTCATTGATGCATAGTATATAATAAATAGGCAGGTAAGAACTATATCGAGAACATTTTTGTATGACATCATGTAACACATATAAATGACTGCTCACCACAAATATGCTCTGCCTTTTGCCATCAGGACCAACAGTTTGTGCCCCTGGGTCATCCATTGAAATTGTGGGTAGTAACACAAGTGTCTTCTGTAATATACTGCGTACCATGGTCTTACCACCACCTGTAGTATAAAATACAATATAAAAAGACATTAATATGACACTCATGTAGGTATAAAATAAACATTTGTATTTGGAAATTATAACATTTTTTAAGATTCCAAATGCCAGTCACAACCAATGATTCTTGGTGGTGACATAATAATGTAATCTAAGAGTACGAGGGGAAGGGAGAGGGAAGGAGGTGAATATTGTGTGACCAGACTAACATATTTTTGGTGTCTATAATATTGAAACATAGAAGTACATTAATTTAAAATACCTGTTGGTCCCACCAGCATGACCCCATGACGAACTAGGAGTTGTTGATGTAATTGCTTTACTTTCTCTATCTGGTTGGCCCAGTGTTGAAGATTTAGATCTCTAATCGCCATAGATATAGCTTTCTAAAAATACACAAAATTTCAGCTGAATTGAAAAAGTTAGAGCATATAGTGCATTACTTCTGGGACAACCCTCATACATAAGTAGTTAGTTTTGAATGATTCTGACTACAATCCTTACTGTACTCACTTGACTTAGAGCAACCCTTTTGTCAGTCATCCAGTGTGGCCAATCTCAATACAAACCTAGATATGGGTAAGGATTATATGGATATTATTCCTAACTCAAAGATGTTAATTTTCAACACATGGATAGTTCTAAGGTTTATCTAATTATACATACAATGTTTATTTCATTCAAAATTTTTTCAGAACAATCCAAAATTTCTATGAATACGAGCAAGTTCCACTTTAACAAATGCAGGCACAAAAAAAAAGAATACAATGGTTTGAAAATCGAATACATTTTATTCTATGAACTACAGGTTGAGCAATTTGTCTATGTATCATAACTTATCCTACCTCTAGTACTCCAAGGTCCTGTTGAGGGGGTATAATCCCTGGAAAGAGATCCTGCATAATACCCTCAAACAAGGGAACATCTTCAGCCAGAAACTTTGGCATGTTGGCATTACGTAGAGAATGGATGAGGATATAAGATTCATCCTCCTCTGACATGTCTCTAGCTTTCTCTAGTGGCATGCTGCAATTGAAAATATCATATACATGTGCATATATATATATATATATATAAATTATATAAAATACTGGTATATTTACTCATAAAATGATACTTAGCAATGGCTTGTACATCAGTACAATGATTAAAAGGAAACCCCCAAATATGATGAAAAGAGTGAGGAAAATGAGCATTGATTAGCAAAACTAGAAAAATAAACATCTTATTTAAAAAACTATAAACATGCAAGAAAATGGAACATTGAATATCACAGGTCATAAAAGCAACAAACCCAAGCCTCCTAAAATGAAATTAGGGGAAGTTTGAGCATAAATCAAACATGGTACAACAGAGTGTATTTTTAATATTTATTCATCAGATGTGGACTAAGGTCAAGTATGTTTCAGCCTATACAGGAAAATAACAATGGCAACTGGACAGATATTAAATGTTGAATAGTACCAGTGTGAAATTCTAATCCACCTTTGTAGGAAATATTGTAAACAATCTTGTTTATGGTCTCTTACCTGAGAACTGCTTGTCTTTTGCCCTGTCCTGCCATGTCTAGCACAGACTTGATGGCACGCATACCAAAATCATAATGATCCTAAAATCAAGTATTTTTCAAAATATCATAAGATTATTAAGTTTTGCAGCATTATATAACCATATATATCATAGGTAACTACTACACGTGCACATGTACTCATGATAATTGTGACTGAGGGCTAAAACACTGACTACTTAATTTACATTCTCAAAGGAAAGTGAAATTCTGGTGACGCTGTGCTTTTTGAGGGTCAAAAACTAATGTAGGAAACATAATTTTTATTTTGTTCATGAAGAGTTTAAAGTAAGAAAAATCATTTTCTACATTTAAAGCTGCATTTAAACTCAGTGCCACATGAATCAAATATCCCAAATAAGTCTAGCAAATGAGATACATGTTCCATTCATTGAAGGAGAACTAACCTGTTGAGAGAGCTGCTTGCTAGCCAGCTGGTACAGATTCACCAGTTTACGTGAGAGAGACTTAGCTGCTATGAAGCCATTAGAGAACAACATTATCTCAGATATACGAGCATAATCTGGCACCATCATAGCTACTGGTCTGAACAATGACTTCAGATTATCAGGGAGTTCCACTCGTCCAGCGTAACTGAATACAGAATTAATACAGAAATATTACATGATTTTTAGATTTTTAGGTCATGTATATTGGTTCGACCAATCATAAAATAACAAGCATGATGGTGATAAAATTATTAAAATACATTTCTTCAAAGCATATATATGTTTCAATTTACTGTATGCTAAAAATAAAAATTGCATTAACAATCATAACAATGTTTCTCAAATAGTGAGAATAACTACCCTAAATAATAATGAAAGCATAAACAAGCCCAACATAAACTATCTATATTCTTAAATAACAAACAAAATACCAATTGAGTATTAAAGACTACCTCGACATTAGAGTCCTTTTACTAGGTAATTGTTTCTTGCTGTGGAAGATAAACAATACTCAAAGGTGACAAGGCCATATAAACATTTCAAGAAAATGATAATAAAAATATCCCGACTTTCTCCTGGGAAAAGATATGGATTTCTTATTTTAATGACTAGGAATAATATGTGATCGAAAGACAAAGTGAGATATTTTTGAGAAATGCTCACGATCCCTGATAAAAATCTTTTAGATCTCCCTGTAATTCATTCTATTTCAAATCTAAATAAAAAATGCAATACTTCAAAGTAAAGTATTTGTATTGAAATATATCTCTTACCTTGGGTTCATAGTAATGAAGAATCCACAAGTCATATTCAGTCTTATATCCCTGCCTTCAAAGACAAACCTAGGGTGCTTCAAATCTTTAGCTGCCTTAATGGTGTGTATTTGTTGTGCCACAACTGACAAGACCTCCACATCTATCCTGTTAAACTCATCAAAGCAGCACCAGCTACCAGACTGTGCCAGCCCAGAGAAGAACTTCCCAAGAGTTTTGAAGTCAAGGCCTTCAGAGCAGTTGAACACAACACATTGTTTTCCCATAGCCTATAAGAATTGAATGTTTTTCCTTTATATCGTGGACAAATTCACATCCTTTCACTCAATGTTTGTAGATGGCACTACATGAAAACTTGAATGTTACATTTTGTTGAGGACAAATTCACATTCGCTCACTCTCAGTATGCCATATAGATGGTACCTCAAAAAACTTGAAGGTCACATTTTTGAGAATGAATTCACTCTAAGCATATATAGAGGACACTACAAGAGAAACTGAATATTACGTTTTGTAGTGGATTTTTGTTTCTTTAACTCTAAACATATACAGATGGCACTAAAAGATCTTCATTGTTACATTTTATTGTGAACAAATTAACAATTTTTCACTAAGCATCTATAGAGGGCTAGTTTAATGTTTACAAATGCCTGTCTTAATTCTAAAAAATTAAGTAGTTAAGCAATTCATATCCATTCACATTCTTGACTTTTTTTAACAACCTTATTACCTTTGCAAGATCTTTGACAGTTTCTGTTTTCCCAGTGCCAGCAGGTCCAGCAGGGGAGCCTCCTAGATGAAGGTGCAGAGCACCAGTCAATGTTAGGTAGCATCTGGAATATATTTAATATTTTCTTGTTATCTGCATGTTTGGCAATAATCAGAATCAATGGAAAGATTTTTGGACACCCTGTATAACAATATCAACAGATTAGGTCTCTCTACATTGACTGTTAAAACAATTTCCCAACACTAAATTTATCTTGCTTCTTCATATTGTTTGCATTCTAGAGATACACTGAAGGATTTTGAGTAGAATGTCTTAGGTGTCAACTTCACCCTTATGGATATATTTGAAGACCCAAATGGCTTAGTTTCAGAAATATCACAAATCTAAATTCAATAAACGACCTACGGTCCTGTGCTCACAGTGTTTTGTGCAGCCAATGATGATTGACTTTATACATAAGAAAGTTCCCTGAAAATGACGAAGTCCTACTTTTTGTCAAATTTTATAGAGTAAACACCAAAAAATGTAATTTCAAGAGCTTTGAAATCTTCAGAGAACATAAGTTGCATATACAGCAACTACTACAAGTTAATTGAAAGTTGTACTTCAACAAAGTGTCTAGTATTTACAGAAAATTTTTGTCAAAATCAGCAATTTCTCAGAAACCGGGCGAACTTGGGAAATGGCGATGATAGGTCAAATAGGCATTATGAATATGCATAAAATGAATGTGGATATGACTCAATCCGAATAGCAGTTTTAATTTGTGAGGCCAATGTTGACAGACGGACTGACAGACGGATTGACAGACCAACGGACGGACGCCTGGTCAATCCCATAGGCTCACTGTGTGAGCTAAAAATGACTGTTAAATCTGCACCATCTGCTCATTCATGCCACACCAAATATTTCTCACAGGCTCCGTCTGCATAGGGTGAATATGGTATATTATATTGGTGATGTTACTCACCTATCAGTTAGGGGTGTAATGACTAGTCTGGGGGAGCAACCCAAGTACTCATAGCCATAAGTGAATGATGCATTAGACTGCATCACATTACAGTTGTTGGTTTGTTCATCCCACTCATAGCGTAGTTGCCTAAAAAACATAATAAAGGCACATACTAAATATGTGAATAATTCACATGTTGAATTCAATAACTGCAACTACTTTAGCTTTTATAGATTTAAAGTGCATAAATTCACTTATTCAAATTTGAAACCCCGAGCCTAGAACTGAAATCTCTAGAGCTAATTAAAGTCAAAGTGTAATGGCAGAAATGATACTATGTCATTATTTAGTCTACATTAAGCATAGATGATCTCATTTCTCATATTATATTTAGTTCTATACCATAATTTCTCAGGAACCAATACAGTATGTAAATACGATGAAGAATAAGTGCAAAATGTATATTTAGTAAAATTGTTTAGTCAAAGTCAAGCCAGTTTTCAAAACACAATTTTTTATTGTTGGGAATGTTGTGCTGAGATATGCTCAGAATGCACCAGAGAGGGTCTTTTCAAAATTTTCTGGGGCATGCCCCCCAATCCCCCTAGATTGCATTGTACGCTTCGTGTGCGGCGCGCTTCATGCATATCCAAAGTTACCCCCCCTCTTGGCAAATCCTTCTGACGCCACTGCTTATATGCAATATATTTAATTTCAGCATAATTCATAAAAAGACCATTTTGTGATACCCTTTAGAAAATTAAAATGTTAGAGAAACTATTAAACCTGCACATTGCTCCAAAACGCAATATGTTGACATATATTGTTTTTTCATTTTCAAGCTCTAATTTAAAGTTGATGTAAATAAAAATTGTTTTTTTCTGCGTAATATCAAAGAACAATCGTTTAGTTAAAAAAAAATAAAAAAGTTAGTGTGGGATTCAAACCGGGGCCTCATGCGTGCTGAGCGAGCATTCTACCGCAAGGCCACCAAGCTATTATGAATAATTGGAGTAATTAAACGCTACTACGTTGAATGCTATAATTCAGAAGTGAAGTCACATTCTCAATTTAGAAACCTATCCAAAATCATATCGTTGTCACCAATCGAAGCAAATTCAATGAACAATGTTTGAAATGACACATTTATCGTAAGTATTTACACAAGATTTGCCCCATTTGTTCATCATTCTATAATCTTTCATTAAGCTCAAAATGATAAAATTCACCCCCAACACAACCCAAGATTGCGTTTTGGAGCGATGTGCAGGTTTAAGCATACAATATTCCATTGCATGATTATCTTGATAAATGTAATAATCAGACGTGATATTTTAGAACTTTGCTATCACATGGATATGGAACAATGGTGTGAATGGGAATTCTCAGATTCGATGTACTATTTGATGTTACAATGTCAGTGATTTTAGTTATGCCTCACATATTGGAACCAGATGGACTGGAATTCTTAATCAGTCTTAAACATAAGAGTCGAGACACATTATAGATGGTGCCTTTACAATTTTAATTTATACAGGGTGACTGGAAAAAAGAGACTATTTAAGTAGGATATATCTCCTAAACTGGACAAGTGACATCCATGAAATTTTGCACACATCAGTACAATTCTATTGAAATTTGTTCCAGAAGGTTTCAATACAACTAGTCCATTGGTTCAGGAGCTGTTATCATTTACATTACAGGCTCCAATTTGCAAAGGTAGAGCTGGATTCATATGGCAAGATACCCTTACATATTCAGCCCTTGTTATGGCATTACAGTGATTGCCTTCTTTAGGTCAGCAATTGTCTGAGGATTGTTTTGGTACACATTATCTTTCAAATAGCCCCAGAAAAACAAATCAAGTGGATTCAAGTTTGGGGTGTATGGAGATGAAGGGTCATCTGACCTATGGCTTATGACTCATTGGTGCTACTCAGTTATAGTACCTAAGGAAGTATTGGACAGCCCTTGGTTGCCATATGGGATTCAATTGTGCCATATAGTGGTCTTAGCAAGATGGCACTACTCCCTATATCTTAATTGACTCACTACAGTAAAATTTTTTCGAGGTCTCCTCTGCCGAAGGCAGCGCCAAGTAGGAGCGTAGCGACTACTTTGCGGGAGACCTCGAACCATTGATCACGTTTGCTCCTGTAATTATTCACTTCTTCACTTTTTAAAATGTGATTTCAATCAGTTGATCAAATTTTCGCAATTTGAAATCAAATTCAAATATTAATATTTATAAGAAAAAATACTGACTCATTATTATATTTTTAAAAGTCTTTCAAATAAAGTGAAATGAAGCCAAAATCAGCTAAAATTATGCAATGTCGTAAAATGGTGTTACATGAATATGATGCAATCACCTGTGACGTCAGACACGTATTGCCACATCAACAACTAAACAAACAATTAAAGGTTGAATAAATAGTGCAGAGACGTATCCAACGATCATGGTCCTGGTGTCAAAATATATCGATTTTTGAATATTTCATCAAGGCTAACATCTATTTTCATTAGCTACAAAGAAAACCCCCGAACGTACCTAATTTCTGCCGATATTCACAATCACTGGCATCCAAAATCCCCGGGAATCTTCTCCCGACATCGACAGAAAAAATGATCACGTACCTTTCAATGATTTCCCGGTTATATTGTCATTGGATTCCAGCCCCGTTTTCACCTAACGTTCTATCCAACATTCTGTTTCCTTTATACCATGCGCGTGTCAAGACGACCTTGAATATGGGCAGATTTGAGGTGTTTTAGTCACTTAGATTTTTTTGATTTTTCTTCGTCAGTGGATGAGATTAACTGCAAGAGTCGCCAGTAATAGACCGTCAACGGCGGTCATATCGGGTACCATGCATACGGTTATATCAGACAACCACGGTTATACTGTAACATACGGTCTTACCTATCTCAGCTGCAGCAAGAATTTTAAATGGTGGAGATTTAGAAATGTTTCAAAAAACAAAATGCGGGACGTCCATCCTTTCAATTGCTTATTTAGAAGTCTATTTGCAAGTCTGATTGGTGGTATTCGTCGACAAGTGCATATATTTTAAGAAAATAGGTATGGCGAAGAAGACATTAGGCCAAACGTTGCACTAATAGCTCGGGAAAGGTAAAATGACTCCCAAATTTCTTCTACAGTCTTTATTCAACCTTTAATATAGACTTCACTGATTGGTTTAAAGATTCTTCGCATCATTTGTGACGTCATAAACATGTTACCCAACCAACAACTAAACAAATAACAAATAGGCATATAGGTTCGTTCAGTGCCACGCTCTTGAATCAGTTATAAACAGGATAATCAACAGATATATGATAGGGTCAGGAATTTTTTTGACTTGGAGACCTCGACTCGAGGAGTTTGCTGCATTTTCTTGTTAATGTTTGGAACTACTTTGAATCGAAAAAATAAGCAATTAAAGGACCATATTGAAACAGAATATGTAAAAATAATATCATTTATACATGTCCAAACTTTCGTATAAATTAGTTTGTTTTGTAGTTTAGCTATCATATCTGTGGCCACTTATATTTCAATGCTTCTCTGCCGTTATTTTCGAAAAAATTAACATGGCTGAAACTCCCTAAATTACAAAAGGCCACAGCTTTGCTGCACATTATACATAACTATCTGAAATATACAAAAGTTAGGACTTGTACATATGTTTCCATTTTTTCATATACTGTTGCAATATAGTCATTTGATTTTCTTATTTTTAAAATTCAAAGTAGTTCCAAACATTTAAAATTTTACTGTAGATAGGCTAAATCAACATTTTGGCAACAGGATCATAAACCATAGATCTGATAACCCTTCATCTTCACACAGCTTATATTTGAATCCACCTGATTTCTTTTATTGGTTTTTTGAAAACCAATGTATACCAAAACAATCTTCAGACAATTGCTGACCTAAAAAAGGCAATAACTGCTAAATGTAATGCCATTATTAGGGCTGAATATGTAAAGGTATCTTGCCATATGAATCCAACTCTACCTTGGCAAATTAGAGCATGTAATGTAAATGATCACAGCTCCTAAACCAGTTGAATGGTTGTATTGAAACTTTCAGGAACAAATTTCCATAGAACTGTTCTGGTATGTGCGAAATTTCATTGATGTCACTTGTCTAGTTTAGGAGATATTGCCTACTTCAATGGACTCCTTTTTTCCAGTCACCCTGTATTTCTATTAAAATTTGATCATTAGACAAATACATGAAGTTAAAAATATTTGATTACTTCATATTAAGTGTTATTTTGTTTTTATCATGAATGTTATCTACAACTTCATATTTCACATACATATGACAGCATGAACCTGGCACCTCATAGTACTAAAATATATCAAAAGATAGAGAAAATACACTACTTAAACAATGATATAGATTAGAGGTAATTAATAAATTCCTAATTGACTTCAAAGTGATTACATGAGAATGTGAGGTAAAATGATGACTTTTTTATCTGACAAATTGATAACTATTTGATAAATTGACTTGGAGCTTTAGACGTAGGCTTGCATTCTAATATCACCAAAAAACAGGTCCAAATGTCATCCGAAGAAAGCGAATATGCACACCATATAAGTGTAAACCAAATTCACGTTCTTGACTACACTAACACTTACTTAGTCCATTCAAAGTCATCCTTTTTGGAGACCTTACTCTCAATCATGTCATTGAGAATGTCTCTATTGTGTACATCTATAGTAAGAAGGGCCTCTATGCTGAGTCTGTGGTATGAAATGAGGTTAGTTGACACAAGGCCTGCTAGGGTGTTGAGTGTGTTCACCATCATGTCTCGCATATGAGCCAGTTGAATCCTTGGCTCTGGGTGGGCAAAGCATGCCATAACATCCTTGTTAAACATTATCTGGGCCTAGAAGGATATGATTCAGTAGAGCTCAGTATGAATTCTAAAAATAATCTAATCTATATGCTTTCATTGTTGAGGTACAGTACTTGTGTCATTGAGGCATAACGATACTGTTGCGCCTGTTTTTGAAAAAATGTATGGTATAAAAAAAGATAAACAATAAACAGTAAATACATCTGTAATGGTATCCTTTAGATTTGGGTTTGTTAAAAAGGAGTGAAATATGCTTGGGCTAATATAACTGCAGAGCCTTAGTAAAAAATTAGAAAAACACCATTTATACGATCAATACTGAATGTTTTACTTTCATAAATTATAAAAAATCACACCTGAGAAATAGATAATGTAAAAATAGAACATAATTTAAAGGTAAGAGGTCAGAGTCAACACTAGAGGCTGAAAGTAATAAATCAGTTTCTCAAGAGTGTTTATAAGATAATACTGACAAGAGAGATTATACATATCAGACAAAAGATTTGTGTGACAAAAATGACGCAAGTAAAAACATAACTTTTAAATCATCATACCACTGTTAGTACAACTTGTCCAGGGTGCTTCAGTACCCATTCTTCATGTCTTAAGCCTAACCAATCATTAAGTCCAAGTTTGAGGTGACGTTTCACGGTGTCAAACATCCCTGTCTCAACACTACCTAACCATTGTTCTACAGGACCTCTGGCACGTACATTCCTGTAATGACAATCATACAAATATAAATAAGGCCATATTTTTCCTGATACTTTATGCTGACCTATACCGGCGATTACTAGAGTGCTGCTAACTCGATAAAAGGCTGGCGCTGGCTAGAATTGTCTATGGTTCTAGCCAGGATAAAGATACCAGTTCTTCAACTCGACAATGGGAAGAACTGCTCTACCTAAGTGACTAATATGTCATGATATGACATCTAAAGAGTCGATAAAAGATATATATATGTCCAAATTGAATTAGAATGAATGAAATATCACAGCATGGCAAAATATCCCTTAGCAAAAAACACTGAAGTATGTCATATTTTTTATACAGAGTATTAATAATTTCTTACTTTGGCATTGCAACCACCTCCCCCTCTTCAGATATCATGTTCTTCACAGTAGGGGGCTGGCGAGGAATCTGCCTGATGTCCAACATCTTGATGTTTCCAAAACATTTCCCTAGGTGAGGCTGGAATATATATTATATTTAAAAGCAGAATCAAACCTAGTGAGGAGCCTTTCCAAAAAGGATAAAACATATCATGACTTTTTGGAAAACATCTCAACGTTTATGCTTAAACTCTTCTAAAAAACATGACTTTTACATTTATATCTTCTTCTTTTATGAAAACCATTTGATATGACTCCCATATCTTTTGAGAGGAACATTGCTAGGCCAACTGAACATGTTGCTTACACTTATGTCACCACATATACTCAGATTCAAAACTGAGACCGCTGCTTGAAGATCCCCTATATCGTGTATAATATTAATTATGATTTATAATTCAGACATACAAAAACATAAGATCATTTTATACAAGTTGTACAATAATTCTTCTCTTTCCTTTAACTTACAGTGTTCTTGTAATTATTGGCACTATTTGGGCACTTGCCCAAATACAATACTGACTTTCATCTGAGGTGGGAATTAATCAAGGCATCTTGTGAAAGAAATTCATGTCCATGTTGTCAGACAAAACTATGAAAATGAAGTGCAATGTAGGATTATAGTAACCCAGAAAAATATCAAAAAGGATTTGGTTTGTGAAATTCTGTGAGATTAATAATAAATCTTTATTTTAGTGCTAATTGCTCTCTGATTTACAATTCTTAGAACTTAATCTTCTATTTGATAATCATACACACAAGATACTTTTGTTCAAGTGTTTAAAGAACTTATCTTAACCTCTTGAATCCCAGACTCTAAAATTGGTTTAAAACGAGGGAACTTTTCATTTTTGCCAACTTTTGACATTTAACAACATACATATACAACAGCTGATGCTCAATTTAGTGAAATTATAGTTGACACAGATAATTCCTACATCTTTTAAAACATTTCTTGTGTAAATCGGATGAAAATTTTTCAAATTAGAGCAATTTTGGGAAAAATATGTAACAGATAATCTCGTCACCTTAGGTTTTAAGGTAATTTCTTAGGTGACAAGAAATCTTGTCACTCAGGGTAGTCAAAAGGTTAATGGCCTAGTCACATAGCCCGGCCGATGTCCGGCATCGGTAGAGCTCGGTGGATTTTTTTGGTGCCACCGAGCTCTCCTCATCGGAAGCAGAGCTCGGTGACGTGCGTGAACGGACTCCGTCCGGACATCTTCAGGCGACCAACCGAACACAGGCCGGTGACCGTACGGAGTCTGTCTCAAAATGGTAGTTTTTTTCTGCCGATGTGGCAGCAACTACCGGCCGGACATCGGAAGGAATACGGCCGGAACCCGAGCAGGTAACAGGACACCGTGCGATCGCCGGCCGGGTTGTTAACGGGCTTTGAACAGTGACCGGCCGATGCTCTGTCCCACATCGGCCGGAGCTCGGCCACTGTCCGTTAAAAAACCTCGTCCTCTGGTTGTCTCAGATGCACGGGAAACCGGCCGATACTCGGCCGTGCACCGGCCGACTTGTTTTCCGATGTGGTTACGATGGGGCTGCGATGACATGATGAGGGAGCTCGGTGAGAGCCCGGTGAAATTTAACTCCGAAGTTAAAATTTCACCGAGCTACCACCGATGCGGTTTTAAGCAACAAACGCCACGGATGTCCGGCCGGTGTCCGGCCGAGTTCCGGCCGAGTTCGGTGAAAATTGCATCGCTGGCTCATCGTAACCTCATCGGCCGGGCTATGTGACTAGGCCATAAAGATGATGTGTCATGAATCACAGTTAATAATTAACTTCTTGTTTCAGGTATGTATTTTGTAAAGTATGTTTGCTTAACAGATTGATTTTAACTTAGTAAGTAAATAGATTTTGAAGATAAAATATTAAAATCATTACTTTCCATATTCATATAGGAACATAAGAAAAAGTGAAGACCAAAAATTGAAAAAAGAAAGTTTGATAAGGTCTCAAAATGCAGAGAGGTGCACAATATGATTCTGGAGATGATGCAAGATCAGAGGAAGCTATACAAGTTGATATAGAAGAAGGGTCAGGTATGGAAAACCATAAACACAAAATATATGTGAAGGGATAAAAATTTATAACTCACTGATTATTTTTTACCAAACAATAACCAAACAATTGAAAAAATGAAATTCATCTTTAAACTAGAACTTTAAGTTTCAGCAATACAGCGTTTATGTAAAGGGTGGGTCAAAACAGTTAAGTTTTGCTTATACATGTATATGATAAAATTTGAGATTCATAAATTAGAAAGAAAGCACATTGTGTAAAAACTGGAACGAGAATTTTTTATGATCAATCGAAAATGGTCATTTTCAATAAACAGCAAAATACATGTGTGGGATACACCAACTGTTTACTTGAATCTTCCATCTAGTCATGGGCTTTCAATTAGATCTAGTCTTAACTTTTTCATCATATGCTCCATCTGATATGTGGAAAAAAATTATATGAAAAACTGTTGTTATGAAAAGCTGTTGTTGTTGTTGTGAGCAAAAACTTCTCTAATGCGCAAATGTTACATGAGCAATTTTAATATCATATTGCACAATTACTTTTTTCAAATATGATACAGGAGAGACCACAAGTATGCAGGAAATCAGCCATGTTGATCAAGAAGAAGGGACAAGTTCACATGAAGTAGAAGATGATTCAACAACTCAAGAATTAATACAAGCAGGCCACCAAGAAATGTCTGGTAGGGATATACATCCATAAAAAACAATATATGACAAGGGTACTTTGTAATGTTAGTGCTACATTTTATGTGCACTGGTATATCCCCTTTGCATGCTTTGTCTAGAGAGTTATTACATGATTAATATTGATTTCAAATCTCCTTACTTACTTATTTTAGTATTACAAGTTGAAGACAATACAGAGCAAATAGCAGAACATAGCAGTAAAAAGAGACCAAATGATGAAGAATCATCCAATGATGAAGAGGATGTAACATCTTCAAAAAAGTTAGCAGATGTAGGTAGGTAGCATCTTACTGTGTAAAGAGTGATGAATGGTTTTATACGAGGGGTGATCCAAAAGTCTTGGACGCCCTGCTCTAATTTTGTTAGTTTTTAATAAAATTACTTAAAACTTTCCAATAATAAAGACCAACATATTAACTACTTTGTGTATTAATTTCATGGAGAAATGATATATTCTAAGTAGTTTTCTAGATCATTTTTAATATAGGGACCCTGCCACCCGGAACGGTATTCGCACATGGCAACTTTCAGCCTTAAATGTTGCCGCCATTTCACTTGTTTCGCAAGTCTTGACCACTATCTTTCTTGGAATTTTGAATGTTAAACCATGTTAGTTTACCTCCTTTGTTACTAGGCAACCATTTAATTTTGTTTTAGTTATAATGTCACATATGACAATGGCCGTATATGTCAAATTCTAAGAAAATGACAACAGACAAGCAACCCTCATTCTGGTATCATTTTTGCTGCAAGATGGCTGCTGAAATGCAGAACATGAAAGAAATCAAAGTGGAACAAAGAATACTATAAGATATTTTCACTATTATTGACCTTGAGCAGCTACCATATGCACGATACAGTCTAGATATGGCTCCATGTGATTTTCTTCCTTTTCTCCAGAAAAAAGGAGGGTTGAAAGAATTTTTTTTATTACTCATTGTATGAGGTTTAGGGTGGCACTCCAGCAGCATTTGTATCACATAAGCAATGGCGGTTTCATAAATGACTTCCCTTCATTGGTAAAGCGGTATGAAAAATGAGTTAAAATTCGCGGTAAATATGTTGAAAAGTAGGTCTTAATATGTGAAGATGATGATGGCAGATGGCACTCAGACTGAAAATCGGAAATTCTCTCATATCATGACTGGTGTTAGGTTGTGCACCTGCACATAAAGTATTTGCCATATTATAACAGTTGTGACGTGATTTGCTATATTTAAATACCGTTCCGGGTGGCAGGGACCCGGTATTAAAAAATATGTAGAAAAGTAGCTGAAATATATTATTTTCTGTTGAAACTTATACACAAAGTTGTTAAGATGTTGATCTTTACTCTCTGAAAGTTTCATGTAATTATATTAGAAAACAGCAAAGTTAGAGCGAGGCGTCCAAGACTTTTGGATCACCCCTCGTATTAATGCTATATAACATGATGCAGGGGGCTCGGAGGAATTAAAACTTATATTGCTTTTTTGTCCATTTTGTCCAAAATTCTTGAGGTATAATGGTCTTGGGAAAGAGAGCAGGTGTAAATGTTTTACAATGGTTAAGTATAAATTCTCTGATTTGAATTGTTACATTTTTCAAATTTTGCCCTTGCTGTTTCTTCATTATGCTATATACATTTATTTGCAATATATCAGATTACATATAACATTACTTCCAGATCCATACCAACTAATAATGTTCTACATGGATAGAAAGCATACAACATACGTAAGGGCATTTCTATCTACAGAACCTACAGTTGATTTCACAAGTCTAGGTGGACAGAGATGCATATTAAAAGCAATCAAGAATGATGAGCAAGAATTATTAGAACTATTTTTCAAACATACCCAAAATGCAATAAATATGACATTTGATAGGTCAGTTACATCATATAATACTGATTTTACTACTTTAATGTATACTGCAAAGTATAATAGTGTTGAATGTCTGAGATTACTAATTGAGAGTGGTATTGATGTGAATGTGCAGAATAATAATGGCGATAACGCTTTAATTGTTGCTGCTGCTGCTGCTGCTTCTGCATCTAGGTATAGTTATGGTGTTGAATGTCTGAAATTACTTATTGAGAGTGGTATTGATGTGAATGTGAAGAATAATAATGGCGATAACGCTTTAATTGTTGCTGCTGCTGCTGCTGCTGCTGCTGCTGATTCTTTATTAAGGCGTAGTTATGGTGTTAGATGTCTGAAATTACTTATTGAGAGTGGTATTGATGTGAATGTGAAGAATAATAATGGCGATAACGCTTTAATTGTTGCTGCTGCTGCTGCTGCTGCTGCTTCTAGGTATAGTTCTGGTGTTGAATGTCTGAAATTACTTATTGAGAGTGGTATTGATGTGAATGTGCAGCTTAATAATGGCGATAATGCTCTAATTGTTGCTGCTGCTGCTGCTGCTGCTGCTGCTGCTGCTGCTGCTGCTGCTGCTGCATCTAGGTATAGTTATGGTGTTGAATGTCTGAAATTACTTATTGAGAGTGGTATTGATGTGAATGTGCAGAATAATAATGGCGATAACGCTTTAATTGTTGCTGCTGCTGCTGCTGCTGCTGCTGCTGATTCTTTATTAAGGCGTAGTTATGGTGTTAGATGTCTGAAATTACTTATTGAGAGTGGTATTGATGTGAATGTGAAGAATAATAATGGCGATAACGCTTTAATTGTTGCTGCTGCTGCTGCTGCTGCTGCTTCTAGGTATAGTTCTGGTGTTGAATGTCTGAAATTACTTATTGAGAGTGGTATTGATGTGAATGTGCAGCTTAATAATGGCGATAATGCTCTAATTGTTGCTGCTGCTGCTGCTGCTGCTGCTGCATCTAGGTATAGTTATGGTGTTGAATGTCTGAAATTACTTATTGAGAGTGGTATTGATGTGAATGTGAAGAATAATAATGGCGATAACGCTTTAATTGTTGCTGCTGCTGCTGCTGCTGCTGCTGCTGCTGATTCTTTATTAAGGCGTAGTTATGGTGTTAGATGTCTGAAATTACTTATTGAGAGTGGTATTGATGTGAATGTGAAGAATAATAATGGCGATAACGCTTTAATTGTTGCTGCTGCTGCTGCTGCTGCTGCTGCTTCTAGGTATAGTTCTGGTGTTGAATGTCTGAAATTACTTATTGAGAGTGGAATTGATGTGAATGTGCAGAATAATAATGGCGATAACGCTTTAATTGTTGCTGCTGATGCTGCTGCTTCTTGGGACAGTTATGGTGTTGAATGTCTGAAATTACTTATTGAGAGTGGTATTGATGTGAATGTGAAGAATAATAATGGCGATAACGCTTTAATTGTTGCTGCTGCTGCTGCTGCTGCTTCTAGGTATAGTTCTGGTGTTGAATGTCTGAAATTACTTATTGAGAGTGGAATTGATGTGAATGTGCAGAATAATAATGGCGATAACGCTTTAATTGTTGCTGCTGATGCTGCTGCTTCTTGGGACAGTTATGGTGTTAGATGTCTGAAATTACTTATTGAGAGTGGTATTGATGTGAATGTGCAGAATAATAATGGCGATAATGCTCTAATTGTTGCTGCTGCTGCTGCTGCATCTAGGTATAGTTATGGTGTTGAATGTCTGAAATTACTTATCGAGAGTGGTGTTAATGTGAACATATCAACTTATGCTGATAAAACAGCATTATCTATTGCTATTTCAACATTCAACCCTAAAATAATAGAAACATTGCTGAATCATGATGCAGATGTAAATGTTAACAAACATGAAACATGGCATTTAGCATTCCAAGAATGCAAGAAACATTTGCCTGAATCAAAAACCCCTTTAATGCAGTTTTTAAAACATGCTAAATACAGTGATATAGTAAAGAAATTGATAGAATTAGATGAAGAGCTTCATTCTACTGATGAACATGGGAAAACAGCTTTGATGTATGCTAGTTGGTTTGATCAGTGTTATGCTGTTAGAATGCTAGTGGAAGCAGGTGTAAATGTGAATGTCCATGACAGAGATAGGATCACGGCACTAATGTTTGCATGTATGAATGGTTGTGAAACCTGCTGCTCAACATTAGTACATGCAGGGGGTCACATCAATGCAAGAGAGAAACATGGTAGGACAGCACTATTTCTGACCAAAATAAAACCAGGGTTATCAACATTGAATATCTATGAGGAATTGTTGATCCATGGTGCTCATTTTGGACTAGAAAACCTAAATGCAGTGTTAAGTGAAAAATTCATGGAAAGCATAGAAACGTTTCCCTGTACAACACTTAGTATTATCTATGACATGCTCTTGAGATTTGAATATGTTGGTTGTACCCAAGACATCATGTTTAGAGTCAAACAATCTCAGCCTGAAACAAGTTCATTGTTTAAGGATTGTATGAAATCAAATACTGAAGTTAAAGCAACATGGTTGCATAAATACTCCGCACTTGCAGCCAGATCATGTGTTAAATATAAGGGAGACATTGACAAATTTCCAACAGCAAGAAAATTGAAAGTTTATATCAGCTGTATGGGGTGTAAATATCTGATTAAATCAGCTGAAGCTTTATATCCCTCTCCTGATGAAAAATCTGACAAAGACAATGTCGACATGTACGGTAAAGATGAGTGCATAGACACTGATAACAATCAAAATGACACAGACGACAGTATAGATCATGATAGAGACAGGATTCTAAATAAAGAACATAGAACCAATCATGAAAATGACTCGGACAATTATGGAAATGACACAGAAAACAGTAATAGTAGTCTGAGCATTTATGATTCTGACAGTGAGGAAAATGATACACACGAGGACAACAGGCCACAATATGTAGTTGTCCCTGATGCGAGTGACTTTAGTGACATGGAAAGTGTGGAGGATGACTGGTACATGGAAGATGACTAAGTTGAACAAAGTCATCATGCAAGTGAAGTGTATGTGTAGTGTGTTTAGTATTTTAGGCAACAAACTGTCAGATGACATGCATGTGATAAGATTTTTGATAGGGGAATGTTGCAATTGCAAATCATATGTATGTGGATTGTATTGCTGATAAAAGATAAATTACTTTGATTTTATGAAAAAACAAGTTCATTACAGCAATTAGTTGTTATTACCATGTTTATAAAATCTATAATTATTTAATATGGTTTAGGATATAGCATTTAGATTCATGATTTGGACACATGTATGGTTTTACTTGCAATGCATCAATGTAGACATATTTATTAGTGTTATTGAAGCCCATAGTTAGCTTTTGCCATATAATCCTTCAATATTAGAACTGTACACACTAACCAATTGCAATGCTTAGTGCATGCACTCTGCACTTGTAATATTTCCAACTATGAGAGTTCAAATATATTATAAAGGTATTCTGTGTGAATTATTGCACAGGGAACACCTGTGTAAAAGAGCAATCAAAGCTTCATTAGACACTTGGTATATTTGAGTGTAACTTAGAAAACATATTGTATATTTGTGATGTCCTTAATATTATTTTGTTTCTGTACAGATGTGAGTTAATACTGTACATTTATATTTATTGTTGACATGACTGTCTCAAACCACAAAGCCATTTCAAAATAGAAGCAGAAACTAAAAGGAAATGGCACATTCAAACATTTGATAGCTGTACTAGTGGTACACATCTGACATTTACTGTCATTATATGCACAATTGCTATCAAATATTTAAGACTTGTGAATCTGGTGATATCAATTGATGAAATGCATGAGCATGTATTCATGTTGATGTACTTTCACATACAAGAACATGTCAGTGAGCATTATATTATATATGGTTCTCTACCTATTCATACTATTCGAACGACCCTTGTATGTACTTGTATTATTATATTGTAAAGTATATTTATATCAAAATATTTTAATAATAAAAAAAGATAATTGATAAATACCTTTTGTTTCATGACATGTGTCTTATATTAGAGAACATAACTTAGTCAACATTCTTTATCCTTTGATACAATACATTGAGCCACTAAACTTACATGTAGAATCATAATCTAATGAGCAACTACATTGTATTTTAAGTTTCAGGAAAATCACAAAGTTCACATTCCATTTCCATTCCATGAAAACTAAAGATTTTTATGTGTTCAGTTTTCTATAAAAGAATTTACAATCCAATGATCCATTAGCCCTACAATTCTTGCTTCTTTATCATAATACAATAGGATAGATTTGGACAATATCTTTGTCATTTGTCATTTTTGCCAGCTTCAAATATTCTAGATTAATAACCTTTGTTCTACTTAATGTATATAACTAACTCTTTGGAAATGGGGTGTACTGGTACAATGATGAAAAGGTAATATATAGAGACTAACCTGTACAGCTTCTGGGTTCTTAGACTGGGCCAATATATCTAGTAAGTCATCATTACTGAGGAAATAAAACCTTGGGAACACAAGGCGCTTTGTCTCCAAGTAGTCCTAAAAGTTAAAACAAATAAAAAGTCTATCAATAGAATAGAAAGTCCCAGAATATGGTACATTCATATGAAGAAAATAATATATATAGTTTGTACTTTTTGGAATTCCTACAATTACTAGTAGCAAATTCAGTACTACTGATGGACTAGCATAAATTCCACCAAAATGTATATAGCGGCATCTACAATAAAATCAACAGAAAAATCTTACAGATTAAAACAATTTCTACTATAGAAAATAGTTGCATACCTCTAAGCATTTCTGTATCTTTTCAAGGTTTGCGTTAGCGGCCTGCAACATCTCTAGAACCCCTGCTGCAGTGGCTGCCTTCAGAGCATTGGGTCGATCCTCTGTCTTTCGCATGATATCCTTAAGTGACTTGTCTACTGATGCAAACATCTTGGCTTCAGAAGGGAGTTGCCTAAATAAGAAATATGAATTTTCAACCTGAATTCTTCATTTTCAATGTTTATAGTAAATTGGAAGGAATAATAAATTATTAAATATCTGTAACAATACACAAGTAACCTGGGGGCCATTTACAGAAACTCTGTAAAGTCAAGAATTCATAAAATCCATTGTTCTCTAACATTATATCCATGGTTACAATAATTGATTTATGAATTCATAACTTTACGAAGTTTCTGTTAATGACCCCCTGTTTAATACATTTATAATATCATGAATTTTCAGTCTAGATTAGATTCAATCTAATATTTATAAATGACCAGGTAAATCATTTTGAACAATACTTTATCAGTCTAATTTACTTTATCTTTTCTAAAAGGATGAACTAACCTCTGGATGTCTGGAGTAGAAAATATCTGCTCAAGATAGAGCCAATTTCTTTGACATGTCATCCACTCATCTAAAGTCCTCGCAAATAATGTCAACTTTCTTTCCCATTCTTCAACATTTCCTTTTATGGGTGTCACATAACGTGATCCTCGAATTGTTGCTATGGTAACTTGACTTTCTTCGAGTTGGGCCATAAGATCATCGGCACCTGCGATGATGTAAGTATCACGACCTTGATGAGCAACCAATCGGAAGTCAGTATTTTGCCACAGATCAATGACCTAGAAAATAATAATTAAATAATGGAAATATTCATCATGTATTAGTTGACTCTTTTTGATTACTACATATATAGTTTAATTGGATTGGGTATATTCTCAACTGTTTATTCTAAGCATTTGTAACATTTATGCACAAATGTTCTACTTCTGAATCTCATGATTTGTGCTCTTGGGTGTTTAATATTCTTGTGCTATACACATTTGTTTTGCCTTGAAATAAATCTCATGACGTACTTATTATTTGCATTATCAATATCAACCATATAGTAACACAAGGGAGTTTATGAACATACCTTTTGCAACATAATCTCTAACGTTGCCTCATTACTAGCAGTTGTAGATATATCCTGTATCTTATCTTTATGCTGGAATATAGCCATCTCAAGCAGCTTGCCAAGGGTAAATTTGTTACCACGTTGAATCTCCTTTCCAATGACTTCCTCAATCTTGCTCCAATGCCGGGGCCTGAGTGATGGGTTGCGTAGAGAGACTATTACTGGCATGCCTTGTTTGAAGTCAAAGACACGGTTCTTTAACTTTGGCACAACTTCATTGTGAGGCAAACCTGGGCAATAAGAAATAAGAATTAAAGTGTACATATATTTCTTTAACTATAACCTGTTGAAGATGGGGTAACAACATAAAGTATTGACTTACATGTACATGTTCAATACAGACTTGTGTATAATTTTACTAGGATCCAAAGCATAGTCATAATCTCTAAGTAGACAAGCTGACCATAATATCATACCCTTTTTAGGTACGATAAAAATAACATGACAGCAAAAGACAAGCATAACCAGGCTCATTGATATTATTCATTTCTAAAATACATAAATAGCAAAATGTGAAATAATACATAATTTCTGTAATGTGTAGTCACAACTATTACACTTTACACAACACTAACCTTTCTCCAACATATACACAGTCTGTATGTATCTATTCACTCCCTTCTGCAAACTATCTACATTCAACTTCTCAAATGGTGTGGAGGTCCATTCATCCACTAACATTATCCACTCCTCTTGAGATTCCCATAAAAGACGTCTCAGAGTCAAGTCTCTCTCAATCTCAGACAGTTCAGCTTGAACCGCAGCCGCACTTAGGCTTTCATCTCTACGATCCAACAGAGTGTACTCACTGCAAATGACCAAAATATGCAAGAATGTAAAAGTGAAACCTATAGCTATGTGAATATATGCTTCATCCATTTTGTGCTTATTACTATTAGTAGAGTGATATATAGTGCCGCAGTGAATCAAAATTACCATGAAAAAATGTTTAGTTTGTTTTGTAATACATAGACTTAAAACAGTACAACACTACTGCTTTGTAGTCATGTTCGCAATAAAGTAATGAAAATTAGAACACATATGATGCATTTTCAACCTGTGATTTTGTGTTTTAATTCTATAATCTGATAGATTCAAATTACTGGAATATACGATATGTAAATATTTCACTTACTCCATTTTCTTTCCAGCTGATAAAGAGCTTCCAAATCTATCCTGGTACGATGCGTAACTCTTAGCTTTATTGGACAAGTCATTCACTTCATCAGTGATGTATTTAATGTTCTCCAAGGCCACAGTGGCCAAAGTGTCATCACTAAGGAGAATAGGATCACGTACACGGTTCCGGAGATCATCAATTTTGTGACGGATCTCATAGACCAAAGTATCGAGATCTTTACTGAATTTCTGAATGTTTTCATCTTTCTTAGCATCACAGAATAATATTGTAGACTGAAAAAAATAAAATATGTATAATTATCTGATAACTTCACAATACAAAATGATAAATAGAATATAAAGAATATAACATTAACATTAGCATCTAATGATTCTACTCCCTGGAGCTTCTAAACTGACATTTAATGCTGAGTTTACAAAACTGATCACTAAAAGAGTCACAACCAAACAGACCGGGCCTCTCTATTTCCTCAATCAATTACTTTTATACAGTTTCAATATGTTGTCATACTTATTTCCTAACAAGTATTTTTTCTTCAAACAATTTAACCCATTTTCAAAAACAAATTCTATTAAGCTCCCATTTTCTAGTGTCAATACTGCATCATCCCTTTACAATGAAGCTTACTTAAAGTCCACTTACTTTGAGATGCTGAAAGCTTGGAGCCAGGGTCTGATACAGTGCAAACTCCTCAGGCTCCAGAGCAACATGGAACTCTTGGGCGATAGTGAACAGCTTCGTTACAATGGCAAACTCTTTATCAAGGGCAGGCATCTCACTCTGCATGCGACTCAGGAATGATAAATGCTCAACAAAATCTTCAACAGACTCTGGGTATGTGTCTAGCTTCTTTGATGCTCCCTTTGGAAATAAATGATAGTTCTTCATTATTTTATTTTTACCATCAATTTATCATGCATAATAGATCAACTTGGTTTTAAATAAAGATTTTTAAATTTATTGCAGATACATGAATCTGGGGTGCAATTCCACACGGAGAATTTAAAAATTGAATTGATAAATTCATTGTTCTCTTATTTTGACACAATGATTTTTTGTTGAGAATGTCTACAGATATGACTCCCTTATATTAGTTGGTTAATTTATTTTCAATCAACTCTTTTTCTATTTTCATTTCACAAATGATTATGCAATAATATTTACATACAAGTAGATACATGATCTGTTAATAAATACTAAAGAATATTAAGGTACCTTTATGATGGTGAGAAGGTTATCATTGCGCTGGTTAGCAATGATAGGCATCTTATAATGTACTGCATCAACGACTTGCTTAGGGTATGGCAAACAGGAATCCTTGAATCCACTACTCTGCACAAAGATCATACTGACACGCTTTTCTGTTTCCATCATTCCCATACTACTTTTCTGCAAGTCAAATATAGATTTGAGTTAATTAAAGAGCGAAATAGATGTATAGTGTACAATTTGGACACATCTTATCATAAAATAATTCTGGAAGTATACATGTGAGATCAGAGAATACACATTATTAGTGTTATTCTGCATGTTTGTTATATTTTGTATCCTATGCCCAATAGGTGACCTTAGTAGGTGGATTTCATTTTCTTAACTTGTCAATATTTTGTGAATTCTATTATGCTCAATTGGGTACAAAAGGGTTCAAGACCAATTTACATGTATATTTGTACTTTATTTTTTGGTACCTCAAAACAGTGTTCGACTTGGCAGGTATTCAACTTGTAGAGGTTCATTTCATTAATGTAATAGGTTACTGGACTTTCAAAAGCCTTCTACTTAGGGATGTGTTTAAGGGTTTACTGGGGAAAACATTTGTGAGTTTCTTGGGTAAAAGCATGTGAATTAAGGTAGTTGCTTGGTTATATCCGGACAACTCATGAGACTTCGCCTCCAAACCCAATTAGAAGTTTCAATTTGGAGTGACATTTAATGCAAATTCTCAAGTCTCAGAAAATATTTTTATATGTATACGCTAATTGCCAGTAAATAAGCTCTATATGTAGTGATTAAAAATATCTATTTGAGATGTTTAATTGCTATAATCTTGGCATTCTTTATGATTTCGAAAATGATATTACTAATGAATGAAAGAATATGCTCTACTCTCAGTTCATCATGACAATTAATTTTGTAACTTTGAATTAATATGAACTAGTAAATGAATGAATCTCCACACTGATAAAACAAGAATATAAATGACACACAATGATAATTATTCATTCACAACATTCATACATTCATCAAAAGTAATCATTTTTATATCATGGTTCATTTACTATGGCCTTTTGGGATATTTGCATTTATTACATAAAACTGGTACATGTAAATGTTATGCTATGATATACTTTAAATGACATTGTGCCATAAACAATTTCATAAATCTAAAAACATTTGTGGAAATTTTCATTTGGATTAATCATGTTAATGGGATTATTAAGAGATTTTTTCAAACACTCATTTTAAGGGAAAGTATATAGTTTAAGGTAGAGTAACCTATATGTTAAATAAACACATGACATTTGTCATTGTTTCTGTTACATAGTAGATGAACCATTACACAATAAAATTCTTCCTACAAGAATTTTCTTCCTACAAACTTTGTCATTATATTATTTATAACTTCACCACTGTAAATTCAACCGAATGAAATATTTCCTGGAGCAAATTAGACATTTTCACTAAATGTGTGTTATACGTTTACATGTATTTTTAGTAAAAAAGGATCAAATCCGATATATAATTCCTTGATTGAAATCTACCCAGATAATAGTTTTTTTAATCAAACAATAGATCAAATCAGATATATATTATTAATTCCTTTCCTCACCCAATGCAGGGGTGCATAGTTTTATATTTACTAAAAATCTAAACATAAAGCTCTTAAAACTTAAAATCGTTTCATAGTAAATCTTCATATTCACATTCACACCTTAATAAATTTTCAACAGGTTATTTTTTTCTAATTTCAACAGTATTCTGCGCTTCATTGCTAAACTGCTAGAGTGAACACTGATATGGTATACCTTTCAGGTGAAATGAGGAACTATTATATGATCTTATCAATCAGTTGTTACTGTATCATATCTCCTGCTATGCAGAATATAATCCAGGTCTAAAATATTAAGACACTAAGCTAGGAGAGAAAAATAACTTCCAATTTCTTGTATAGTTCACTTTTTCATAATTACTTTACAAAGTGTTAGAATGAGAGCTTGTAAATTAATAAAAAATAGATGAAGTTTTAATATTTTGTAGTATAAGTTATAACATCAAAAACCATTGATTCTGCAGGAAGAGAGACATCACCTGTACCAAAATAAACCCCAAAAAAACAAAACAATATTCGTAATGATGAATCAAAAAATGCTGATACAGTTCTTCTTCTTTGGAATGATGTCACATGGTGTTACCATGGTGAATCAAAAACAACAAATCAGTGGAACAACATTAAGTGAAAACACAGGAGATGTAGCATCCTTTGTGACTGATACAGCATTTCTGGTAGTTAGTGAGGTAGCACCGAAAAATGTACCCGCTTCTGAACAAATTGAAATTACTTGTTTCTTATGTATTTTTATGTGATACTTCAGAAAATTTTTGTCTGATGCGCCGTGTCCGGGGCGAAAGTTGTCAAAATTGGGTTTTTGACCCTAAAAAGGAAAATTACAGGGGGTACATTATCATCATTGAATAATTCATTCAGTTCATCTTCAATCATCATAATAATTTTATCGAGAGCTGATAAGATCATTTTTAGGTAGTATGCAAAGTTTCAATGGTCTGTCACTCCTGGTTGCCATGGAAACCACAATTTTTGCTGAGAAAATCCTTAATTTTGGTAAAACCTGTACCTGTACATAATATAGAATGTGGATTATTTTTCAAATCAACAGATATCAGAACATTTTAGCATTTTCAAAATTACAAGGGCAGTTAAACATTTATTTAAATATAAAGGATATTGCAATTAACATAGCTGGGGAGTGTCAAAGACCATACAATTACATAAGTGATCAAAAGTGGACGTCGCCCTTATCATAGTAGATGATTGCCATTCTCTAAAAATACAGAGTTTTACTTGACTTTTGAGATACATTTATAATGATGTTCTTTGGTTATACTAAATATGAAGCATTTTTGGTAAATAATGTACATGTAAGTGTTATACTTATTGCATTGGGGAGGGGGTAGATGGGGGGGGGGGGGGGGGTAACAGAATTGGAAGAGGGCAAAGCTAATCACCCTTAAGTATAAATCTCATCTACATAGTTCTGGATTTCATAGGGTTCATCTTCTGGGTCTTCTTCACATTCATCTGAATCTATAGGATATTATAATTCTGCATGATTGGTAAGTATAAAGACCATAGAATTACTCAAGTGATCAAAAGTGGGCGTCGCCCTTATAGATTCTCTCTATAAATACAGAGTCTAAGTTGACTTTTGAGATACATTTACATTACAACTTCTTTGATTATACTTAATTTCAAGCATTTCTGGTTAGTAATGCACATCTAACGAATAGTTCTTGCCTGGGGGAGGATGGGGGAGAGTAGTAACAGAATAGGGAGGGGGCAGAGGTAATCAGCCTTAAGTATAAATCTCATCTGCATAGTTCTGGATTTCATGGGGCACCTCGTCTGGGTCTTCTTCATATTCATCTCAATATATGGGATATTACAATTTACAGGATTTGTCAAACACCATACAATTACATATTTATAAACGATCAAAAGGAGTGTCACCCTAATAATAGTAGATGATTGGTTCTTTGTATAAATACAAAATTGAACTTGACTTTTGAGATACATTCATAGTTATACTGAACTGCTGTTATTATAATTTATGTCAAGCATTTCTGGTAAATACATCTGTGTAAGTATTATAGTTTTTACATTTGGGCAGGGGTGAGTAGTAACAGAATTAGAATGTGTAGATCTAATCTGCCTTTAAGTATAAATCTCATCTTTTTAATTCTGGATTTCATAGGGTACAAATCTCTTGTATGAGAATATCAGTCAATACCCACTGGAAAGATATGGAGTCATTTAGTTTCCATTCAAGTCCATCTGGTGGTTCACTACGAGGATTTGCAATATGGGCCATACAGACAATAAGTGCTTTATATGGATGAGATGGTTACAACAATCAGACAGTCATTCATTAGACCAACTTAGGAAAATTATCTAGAGATGAGATGAGTGTGACACCCATAACGACCTTGGAAAGGCACAAATAGCAAGTATAGAAGAAGACATAAAGATGACAAAAACCGCACAAAAAAAGATTTCATGATCTAATAAAACATATGAAATTGAAAACTATAGCAGCAAACTACAGCAGCAACAGTGACAGTGACAGTAAAAAAGTACTCAGAACAAGCTTATACAAATACATTCTGAATGAAACATCTTTGAACAGCTTCGATCTTGCTTAAGAACATAAAATTAGCCTAGAATGTCTCCTGCAGTTCCTATTGAGCCCTGTGCCTTGGGCTCTAGGAACACTGACTGGACTTCTTGCAAGAACAGAGAAACACATCCCTATGCATGAACATGTACCCACAAGTGCCAAAGGGAAAGGACCAAAATTTGTAATAGAACCCAGCAAGAAAAAGAAAACTTCTAAATGTATACAAGTCATAAGGAAAACAAACCCCAACTATCCCAAACCATAATTCAACTTGAAAGGTAGTTTTGTTTCTGGATCTGGCGGAGACTTTTTCAAGATTCTACAATTGCAGATTGATTCGTTTTTGTATGTGATAATTACATCAAAATTTCTATAAAGGAAGCTGGAAGAGGGGAGGGACACCTTGACCTATTTGAGGTAGAAAAACATGAGTCCCTAAAGATTGGAATTAGTTCTTGTATGATGATGAAAACAAAAAGCAAATACAGCAAAGTGTGCTGCTGAATATTTGAGTTGGAAACAAATGAAGACTGATCTCAGTGGTATTTCCTCCAATATAGACCCTGACATATATGCAGCCTTCCTAGCACTTCACACATTCACAGATGAAGTGCCATGCAGAAGGGGCAATAGCAATAGCACCTTTTTAAAAGGCAAAGGTGGAGCGCCATATAGATACACTCAACTGAATGACTCTCAAATCTGCAAGTGTAGTGGTATATTCTCCCACATGATATTATTAATATATTAACATCGGGAGGTGAATGAAAATGATCAGACTATGATATTAATACTTAAGACTGACTGGCCATTGGCTCTGCCCCCTCCCATTTCTGCTACTACCCCCCTTGCCCCCCCCCCCCACAGGGAATAAATATTACAATACTAAATGTAATCAAAGAAGTTTTAATTTAAAAAATAAATCTTAAAGTCAAGTTAAACTCCATATTCATAGAGAATGAATTATCTACTATT